CCAGACCAGTATATGATCTCACTCCATGAGCTCGTTTATGTTGATAACACAAGCGTAATCAGCAGGAGACGCCTTGTTCCAGTAGAAACTTAATGAGGTCGACGAGCAACCTCACCGTTGTCATATCATGTGCTCCTCCCACAGCCACAGACTGCAATTGACTGCACATCCAAAGTGATCGAAACTGAAATACGATGTCCGTGACATTCTTGTGAGTTTGGCATGAAGTGGATCTATCGATGATTTTTGGAGATATTCTCTCGGCTCTTTCAATTTTTTGATGCGTCACACATTTGTTTTGTTATCGATTTGAGATTATGCTCAAGGAACTTATGTACCATTGCGACCTATTGGAAGCTCAAGCTTACAAACTAATCATTTTCATTATAGTTTTGAGATTATGCTCAAATTCCACAACTCATGGAAGCTCAAGCTTACAAACTGATCAACTCCATCCCTACATCACTTTGACCTCAAAATCGCACATTCATCTTCAGTACTCTCGAAGCGCTCCGCAGCTTTCCTTCAATCTTGCTTTGCGCGTTACTTCTTTATTCCTCTGCAAGCATCTTTTTGATTTTCTCGCTGCCCGCACTCTAAACACAGTTCTTGGAAAGTCTTTAGATATAGAAAATAGTTAACGGTTTGCCGGTGATGAAATCTCATTGGATAAATCGATACTTGTTGGGTCCGGAAAAGTGAAAAATGAAGTGAATAAAAGCTATGCTATGCATTCATTTCTAACATTGATCATTATTAGAATCAAGTTCCAAAGCATCTAACTCAATAATTAATATCATAATAATACATAATAACATATTAATATCATAATAGCATCTTAAAAAAATTGTAATCATATATGTTCATCCTGATTAAATAATATTCTATTTTAAATATCATTTTTTATAAATAAAACTAAGATTATTCTTGACAATAAATCAATACTATCTTCAAACAAGATTATTACATTATTGTTCAATTTTCAATGATTGTAACATAAGAACAATAAAATCTTGTAATTTCAATTTCGTATGAACTAAAAAATATGCCAAAATAAAAGTCAATCAATCGTGTCATTTGAATATTCAAAAATTTTAGAAAAGATTATAAATCACTTTTAAATGAAAAAATCATAAAGAATTTCATGGGGAATTACAACAATAAAAAAACCTCAAAATATTATTTTATATCTTTAATAATATCATTGATCATTGAAATTCATATAAACATTGACAAAAAAATTTTAAATATAAAACAGATAAAACTTGAATTTTGAATTTTACATATGAAAAAATGTAATTTTCTTATATTTTAACTTCATTAAAAAATATTAGGATTTAATAAATTGAAGTTTTAAATAAGATTACGTTAAATTATATATATATATATATATATATATATATATATTCAAATCTTACACAGATTATATATTTTTGTTACACTTTTATCATTTTCTGTGCAAGAAGTCTTTTATTTAGAGATTAGATTATCAAATAGAAATTTTCGTAAATTTATTTCATTATTTATCGGATTTTTAAAGTCAAATTAATTTTTCATGTGTCACTTCATAAGCAATAATTTAGTAGATAATAATTTTAACAACATTTGCACGATAAATTTTTCGGTTTATTTTTGGAAAGCAGTTAAATGAAAACGATGATTATGTTTGTTTTTACATATAACATGATCTTCATTTTACATAATTTTCGTTTTGAAAATGTTAACCTTATAATCAATTAATTGATATATTAATTTTTAAAAATAAAATAAAAGTTAGTTATGTATTATAAATCAAATCGGAAGTGAACACAATTATCTACTAAAAATGAACCAAAATGGCTTATAATATTCAGATTAAATTCAAATAAATCATAAAATTCAGTATTATATATGGTTATGATTTATTTAAATGTAAATAATGTTAGGTTTCGCTGTCTCGAACATTGTACTCACACTATTCTCATGAAATGAAATCTCTGTAATTGTATAACTCTCTTATGTGACTTCTCGTATTTCGATGCGACAACTAAGGCTTATGATATTATTTAATATTCAACCAGATATGTAAATTTAAATTGAATTAATACATATCTTTATCATATCAATTAATCTCAATGATGGGATCAAAAGTGTTAAAAAAGTTCAATTATTGTGTGAGTCCTAATATTAGTTTCTTTTATTTATATATACATATAGACAAATTAACTGAAAACAATAAGTTTTGAAATTCTTTTCAATGTAATTCATATCTTTGAGGTTTTTTTAACATCATATAATAGTACACTTAAAATATAGATTTTTGCAATTATTTCCTAAAAAATAGATTTTTAAAACAAATTAGATATTTGATGCTAAAATAAGACGTAACTTTTTTAGCATCATCATGTAAATATTTTATCATGAAACAACAACATGGATTTAACTTGACTTCTTTAAATGTATCAAAATTTAGTATACTTTGATATCAAATCTGATGATAGAAATATTATTTATGATTAATCCTTGATAATGATATCAATTTTTGAAGAATATATAAAGTGATCTTGAAGTATTAATTTATTTATTCAAATCGACTTACGGAACTTTGAATGAGTATGTCAACAAGTAAGTTATAAACTTAGAAAGCATTGTTTACTATATTATGAGGAGGAATTATCTATAACTCACAATTTCTTTAAAAGTAAATAAATAAAATTTCAGTGTTCAGTTGAAAAGACCTGATTCCATAAATTAATTCACATAATTAACTTTTCCTACATGCCTAGGTCTCATTAGTCATATCTAGTTACTTCTATTGATTGTTTTATCTTACTCGAACGAGGTTTCATATTCATCTCCATTATATCCCAATTGATTATTTCACATATGTGTAAGATATCACTGTACCAAGGCATGAGCTTCATCGCATGTGGGTTTACTATCATTTTGTCAAGCTTGATATTCTATCTTCATTTTACATTCAAGCATTTTATCTCTGATGGCTTGTAACGAACATGCCTTCATCTTGAACACACCTTTGTTTGATGAATAGTTCAACACTACTTTATTGTTTTTGTTTTGCATGGTGTGCTAATCAGAAGCATTATGTTGAGACTACAACTTATTACTGCTTATGTAATCTACAAGCAACTCAAGGTTAATCACCACATGCAACAAGTCATGACACTCTCCTTTGAAAATCTATCGGTGGTGGTGCTAACTGATTGCATGCAACTTTAACGAATATGTATTATAGAATAGGGTCCACGTCCATAGTTGGGATGTCTTTATCAATCAAAATATCCACAACACTGAAGGATTACATCAAATCAACCACTGGTGAGAGAGAGTTATGGTCAACAACAAGGCTAGTCTATCCATGCTGGATTACGTATTAACTCTTGTCACAATGTTTTTAATGATGTAACCTTCTAGATCTAGTCTGCTTACCTTGCAAACATCATGTGCTCATTCATCGCATTGTTCATTTGATGATAAACGATAGCAACATAACACCATTACAGATGTATACATAATAGCTCCGGGTATGGGTGTTGTAGAGTTAGTATACAGATTAGCTCAGGGATTGGACATACGGATCGTAGAGTCAGTATCTTGTTAAATCAATAGCATATATACAAGCCAACCTTTACATGTTGAAGATGACTTGGATATTTTACTCATTTGTCTATCTGAAGGGGAGGGGAACTTAATGTCACCCCTACCAATCTCTGAAAGGATCGCAATAAGAACATGACTGAAGAATTTAGCTATGTAGATGTGGAGGAGCCTCGAGGACATGATAAAGTATTTGTATGGAATTGGGCTTGTCTGTATCATAAGACTCGACATGAAGCGCATTTAGCCTTCAATTTGAGTGTACATTTTTCCAAGCAACACGGTATACAACAACGCAAAAGAAGCAACAGTGTATAAAAAATGAATTTGACAGGTGACATCTGTTTGAAACCTCATTCTCACATTATCTCATAATTCACATGATATTGGATGGATCTTCACAAAGTAAGTGACATTATAGGATAAAGATTAGTACTTGATCTTTTAACTTCAACTTTTAATAATTAGCACATTTGGACTTGTTTGATTTGTGATGGTTCGCCTATCCGGCTTTTTTTCCATGGTTAGCCCCTTCTCCCTAACTGTTTACTAATTCTGCTCTATACTCAAAATCATTACTTCTCCACGATTAACCGCAACTCAATCAAGATGGATGTATTTGGAAAAGATCTGTGTCAAAGGAAGTGGCATGTGTGTGCTCACAAACGAGCCAGTCATGGCAATGTACACATGTTCAGATTTCATGTTGTAGTTCCGATAAGTGCTGGAGTTCTTTCCAAGATATGTCATCCCCAATTTGGGTAAACTATAATGATGTTCACTAATTATTGCAGTTTATGTAGTGCCATTTCGCGCAAATCCTACCTTTCCACAGAATCTGGTAAAGAACTTCATGAGTACTCTACTCACTCAATCTGGGTGAGAACAGTAACAAGCAACTCTGAAGAATGTCACAGCTGAAATCTCTTTTGCCCACTTCAAAGCGAGGTACAATTGGTTCTTGCACCTGTGGCATGTCAGACTCTCATAAACACATCGTCCAGTCCCCACCACAAATCATCACAAACATATCACACCTTTGGATTTGGACTTGGACTTGTTTCATATAGATAACCCATTCTCCACCATGTTCCACACTTCACAAACACTGTCCTCGTCGAGATGCTGCTGTTCGTCATCAACTTGAAAAAACAAACCCACCCTAAATTCCAGCTCGAGTTCAACAAACTGAGCTCGAGCTCAGTTTGTTGAGGCAGTCAGGTAGTGAGTGAGTGAGTCAGTCATCGCGACACTCGCAGACACAAACGAAGGGGCGAAGTCCGAAACGAATGAATGTCTTGATGGTGGGGGAGAAAGTTGTTGGGACACAAAACAGAATTGCAGGCCCGTGAAGGGGAGAGAGAACCACGGGCATGAAGGAGGAAGAGGAAGAGGAGGAGGAGGTCCAGCACAAGTTGGGCCCGGGAAGCAAGGGGAGAGGGGAGAGGGGAGAGGGATGGTTGTCGCGGCAGGCAGGCAGGCCCGCTCGGTTGCGCTCCGCGGAACGAGCCACGACGAATCAAATGCCCGTGGCACGTCTTGGGCATCGGATCGGCATGGAAATGGGAACGTGAAGGCGCAGCAGCAGAACTGGCCTTCACGTTCTCTCTCTCTCTCTCTCTCTCTCTCTCTGTCTCGGTCTTGATCAGCCTCCTTGCGTCTTGAGACATAAAGCGGTGCACGCAAGTCAGTCCAGAGCTTCCTCTTCTTCTTCCTCATCATCACCCCACCACCCCCATCGCCATCTCCCTCTCCCTCTTCTTGCTGAATGAATTCCTCTTCCTTCCTCTTGGCTGCGTCATCGGTTCTGTTCTCAAAATCTCGCTTTCTTGGCCTTCTCCTCGGCCCAACAATCAATCAGAGCTCGTGAGACAGAACTTGCACAGAACTGCAAGTCCAGGCAGGAGACAGAGGCAGAGGCAGGCAGGCAGGCAGGGAACCGCAGGCATTTCGTTGGCTCCGATCTGACCGACTGATTGTGTCGAGGAAGAAGAAGATGAAGAAAGCGGCGATGGAGGACGAGGAGGTGGAGATGGAGCTGGTGCGGAATGGAGAGTGAGGCGTTCTTCTTGCTCGAGCCGAAGCAGGCGCGGAAAGAAATGTCGGTTCGGCCCGAGGCTGAGAGCAGCGGCGGAGGGCGGGCGCGCGGGAATGCAGAGGAGGGCGGTGAGCAAAGGCGGGGCAGCAGCAGCAGAAGAGTTGCCGCCGATCGAAGGCTCTGGTGAGGAGGACGAGCGAGAGCGAGAGCGGCGAGGCGAGGAGGAGGAGGAGGAGGAGGATTACGAGGCGATGGCCGCGGGAGGCAAGGGCGAGGGCGGGATCGGGGACAGGAGGAAAGCGGGGCTCACGTCCAGAGGAGGGCTGAGTGGCTGCTCGTGGCAATGCTGCTGGGCTCTGCTCATGGCCGTGTCCATGTTTCTGTACACTCTGGCGATTTTCGGCTCGTCCTGCTCCGGGGCCTCGTCGGCCGGATGGAATTCGAACGACGATTCGGCGTCGTACAAAGCCAACAATCTGTTCGGGAAAGTGCGCGGCAAAATGGCATTGCCATTGATGAGTTTCGACGAGCAGCCGCAGCTGCAGCTGCAGTCGGAAGCTTGGTCTGGAGATCTGAGGACTCTGGTGACTCCGTGGAATCGCTTGTGCTATGGCTCTCATCCTCCCGAAAAGCTGCGCATCGCGCTCTTCGTGAAGAAATGGCCCGTCGGGGGCACGCCGGGCGGGCTCGAGCGCCACGCCATGACTCTGCATCGCGTTCTTGCGGATCGAGGGCACGACGTGCACGTGTTTACGATGTCGGGCGATGGAACGCATCCGGACGACGTACACGAAGGCAATTTGCACGTGCATTTCGTGAGGCCTAATTCGGGCGGCGGATATCAGTACTCCGAAGCCTGGGAGCAGTACTCGATAGCGAATGCGACGCAGGCCTTCGATCTGGTGCACTCGGAGAGCGTGGCCCTGCCGCACTGGCGAGCCAAGGAGGTGACCAAATTGGCGGCGTCGTGGCACGGCATCGCCTTCGAGGTGATTCACTCCGACATCGTCCACGATCTGATTCGCAAGCCCGGCGAGCCTCGCAGCAACGACCTGCAGAAGAGCCTGAGCGAGCGCCTGTCCCGAGTCTCGGAGGAGGTCCGATTCTTCCACAGCTACAAGCATCACGTCGCCACCAGTGACTACGTCGGCGATGTGCTGCGAACCATTTACGAGCTCCCGGAGGAGAATGTGCACACAATCTTGAACGGGGTCGATCAGATGAAGTTCCGCCCCGACCCTGTCAAAGGCGCTCAATTCCGTGCCAAGTATGGAGTTCCTGCCAATGCGAGCCTCGTGCTCGGGGCTGCCGGGAGGCTGGTCAGAGACAAGGGCCATCCGCTGCTGTTCGAAGCCTTCAGCGAGATTCTCAAGGAGCACAAGGACGTGTACCTGCTAATTGCCGGGGCCGGGCCATGGGGCGAACGATACAAAGAGCTCGCTCCCAACGCCAAGACGCTGGGGCCCATGACTCCCGTGCAGCTCGGCGAATTCTACAATGCGCTCGACATTTTCGTCAATCCCACTCTAAGGTCCCAAGGACTGGATCACACGCTCTTGGAAGCCATGCAATGTGGTAAGCCGCTGCTCGCAACCAAATTTTCCAGCATCACGTGGAGTGTGGTCATTAGCAAAGACTTCGGATACACTTTCTCGCCGAATGTAGATGCGCTGATCCAAACTTTGAAAGCTGTGATTAACGACGGCAAAATGGCCTTAAGGGAAAAGGGAGAATCGTGTCTCCAGTATGCGTCCTTCATGTTCACAGCTACAAAAATGGCATCCGCTTATGAACGGCTGTTCCTGTGTATGAAAAACGAGACCTACTGTCATTACCCCCTGCCCCACGATTGTCCCCCACCCAGAAGTAAGTACTTCCACAGCCTATGAATTTCTCCTCTCGGGCTCCGCCGAAGATGTTGGGATTCGGTGAGCGCGGACACTGAGTGGGATCTTTCGGAGAAACCTCTGCGAGAGAAGATCGTCTGCTCCTCGGCTCCTTAGCTTGTGAAGCCTTCGAAGCCCATCGTCATCATCAACTGCGAATTTCCACGATACACTCCGTTGGATTTGGGTTTTTAGGACCACCGCGAACATTCACCGATCATTTGTTTTCGTGATTTCATGTCACGGAAACACTCATGGAAGTTTGAAATCGGTGGAAGCCGAAGGGCTCGTGAGGATCCCTGTTGCAGTCGGACAAACGGCCCAATTCGATCGATGACCTTTATTTAATTCAGGCAGGTTGCCCGACAGGAGTTGTCGTCGATCGCTCTTGAAGGTTGGAGAGCCATTCTTGCCTTCTTCACTCCAGGAAGACGCGAAACGATGGTGTTGAGGTTGCAACCACGTGCAAGGCATCACTGATTTTCGCCAGCCACCAGTTTTGAGCTCCGGGTGGGAGTCTTGTCTGTCAACGCGAGATGGCTGCAAACCGAGAGAATGCACGATACTATAGTAGACTAGATGCGCCCATGCAATTTCTTGTCGGAGACATCCAACTTTACCTGGATACTTGTAAAAAGATCTAGCCGAGGTAATTGCCGGTATCAGTCCGCTCACACAAGAAGTAGGGTCGGCAATTCATGTAGTCTATGAGGCAGAACTCTTCTTAGGGTGAAAACCACGGGGATCGATCGAGATCCCTTCAGAAAAGCATTTTTTCCAAACGAGATATTCAGGGCTCTGTTGAGCTTCTTAAATCACAAATCTGAAATCACAAATAACGTGTCGAGTCTGAGTTACATTGAGAATTAATCTCGATTCATCTGTCTGATTAGGTGCCCTTTGTCACAGTCGAAGTCAAACGGATCTGGTGACTGCAATTGATGCTGTGCGCCTGGTTGACTGAAGTACAACATTACGCTGCAGATTCTATAGAAAGGACACAGCGTTTGATTCCACTACCAGATTATCCAAGATCGGATTGGGTAGAGAATATTTGTCCTTGTGGTTCTCATTTCCTCCAGTGCCTAACTGAGGGCCGTGCAATCTCTGGTAGTTCCCAACACATGCACCACGACTCCATGCGCAGCTGCTGCTGCTGTCGTTTCATATGTTGTGTTGACCTGAAAAAGTCAGTAATTTGCAACAACATGAACACGACAGTAAGGGGAGCTTAGTGACCCACCAGTGAAGGGCAGACTATCAGAGGGCGAAAGTATAATTATGATACGAAGAGAAGAATGACAAGAAGCCCAACAGACTTACTTATCACGTACTGACTCTGTGCCGGTAGCAGACGATTAATATCCCCTAATGTCCTTTCTCATTAATGTGTACCATGTGTCATCTCAATGCAAGGTGATGGCTAACTGTAAAAGCTATACTGCTCTAAAACATCTCAAGATATTTAGTTTAGTCACACCAGCTTATACATGTCGATGAGATTATTCTGCTAGAATAATGACCGAGGGATTGAGGGTATCGATGAGCCAAGATATGTATCGTGATACTAGTTCTCAACCTCCAAGAGTAACAAGCTTTCTTGCTGTGTTGGTCATCCATCACACAACTCGCCCGGCGTTTGACAGTTCTTCTGTCATGGTTTAAGTAACATCTTCTCACTTTTCCATGAAGTAAAAGGAATACTACCCTGCTATCAGACACCAATCAGAAGACTCCATAAACTAAAACATGGATGATACCATAGAGCTAAGATGAGGCCTAGCCCCATTCTAGCTCTATAGATCACAATTACAATTAGCATCACAATCAGAAATAAGTCCTGATCTGATATGTATATTCTGCTAATCTGATCAATGTGGTTGATATTCAGTCAATGTGATGTTTCATGCTTGTTGTGAAGATCGTGCATCTTCATTGGCTTCGTTATTGATGTTTAAGACAACAAATTTTTTTTCTAAATACTTTGGATAAAATCCCAGCAAGGAATGAATAGCAAAAAGGATGGGAGTATCCCATCATGCATGTACATGGATCAAACCAGCAGAGTAAGAAGGGTTAGGCCCATTTGTCCTAAGCTTTCCTTCTAAATATCAGTGGTTTGTTTACACATGCTATAAGTGAGTAGACAGAAGTCTGCTTCACTGTTATGCGAGAGAACATATCTCCAGTGTCCAGTATAGTACATTATTACTCTTTCCGGGGCTGCCAGACCCCACAACGTAGACTTCTGAATCTTTCTATGGGAGTCCGCGCAGCTAGGAAGAGACAAAATGGATGCTTTGCACATTCCTTCCTTCTTTAGAGTCGACGCCGATTCGATGTCAGCTACTTAAGAGTCTGCTTTCCGTACTGTTTCTGTGCGAACACTGTCGGAAGTGGTCATAGATCGACGGCGACGCCTATAAAGACAACAAAATAGTAATCCGAGTCACAATCGTTAATAACTCAATTTCTCAGAATTGATGATTTCCTGGTTCACGATTAGAGAATCACACATGCAGCTCGTTGCATCACGATGAAGCACGTCGCGAGTCATAATTCCAATCTGGAAGGGTCTTCAATAACCTAGTTCCACAAGGAAGGAAAGTTGTCCCAAATTTGATACCTGTAATACACTTGTTGCAAATGGTCAAACTGTTACATACGGTTCTGAATGGCATCTTAGAGTCGAGACATTGCTGACTAACAGCTAGCCTGACTCATGATACACAAAGAATACGAGGAAAGAGGATACGTCACTCTAGGTGTACAAGTTTTGAATGTTCTTCCTTTCTAAAGATGCCGCAAATTAGATGTTTTCATCGTTAATCTTACACACAGCGCCTTCCATATCTCCACTAACTTCAAGGCTCCAAGCCGGAACACAACTTTGGCCTTTCCAGCTGCCAACAAATCTGTAGTAGTACATTGTTGTAGTAGTACATATTTATTGTTGGCCTTTCCAGAGGCTAACAATAAACTTCAAATCTGCACCCAGACCAGACCATGACCATCAGCAGCGATCTAAGCTCACCCATAGCATTACCTGTGCCCACCGATACTACTCAAATTACGGATATTCTTGGTTGGATCTTGATAAACACTGCCCTTAGCATTACCATGGAAAAATAATGTCACCCAAAACCCAACCAAAATCCATGGGCATGGGTGGGTTTGGCATGGGTATGGGCATCCAATGTTGGGCTCTCTAGTAAGGATGTGGAATTTCGTCCGGATTCAGCTTCTCAAGTTGCGCCTCGGAGGATCTGCTCATTGGGTACTGTGGTATTCGTCATACCTCATCAATGTTACCAAAACTCGACAAACAAAGAAGTTGCCACAGTAATCAGATCATATGAGCAAGGTCATCCTTACGCAAGCTACCTCGACCGATTTGTCTGACAAGAAACAGTGTGCTATTTCTCGCTCTTTCTCTAGCCAGCCACGGACGACATAACTCGCAGTATTCAACCATTCGTTCTCCACAAGCACCCAACGAGGCAGTGGACAAAAATCCATAGGCGGACAATTTTAAATTCCCTCTTGTCATCCTCGACACGATGATAAAAGGGGAAGAGCTGCGCGAGGTGAAACACTCCCTCGCCCAGCTCTTCCCCTCTTGTCATCCAGTCTAGAACGGAGCTCGCTGATTTCAAGGCTGATTTACAAGCAGCCTCATGCAATGTCTCTGATCTCGTGCCTGCTGCGCAGCGAATGATCTGAACTTGAATGAGAATCGGCTTCGACAAACTGACAGACGACCATTTTCTACCCGACAAGAAGTGCTGCCAAGAGCTTTGCTTCTGTAATGGCGCCATAGCAACAACAGCGGGTGGCGCTTTTCTTTTGGCCTTTTGGATGAAGTGCCACTAGAAAATTTTCCCAAGTTCGGCAAATGGTTTGAAACAAGTCTTTTTCTATTTTCTTCCTCGACCCCAAATTTGTAATGAAGTGCATAGAAAGGGATGCGAAGCTCTCAGGATTCATAACAAATTTATTAGTTGAAGTAAAATGTTGGCCTCATTCCATAGGAAGGTCTTTTTTTATTCATTTTTATTCATTTATAATTAAGGCACTTCATTACAAATTTGGGGTCGTGGAAGAAAAAAGAAAAAGACTTGTTTCAAACCATTTGCCGAACTCGTTAACCGAACTTGTTTCAAACCTTCTTTGAATCAAATGAGTTAGAAAGAGCGTCCTTAGAATGAATTAAAAAGAGCTTCCTATGGAACAGAAGCGAACATTTTACTTCAAGTCTGTACCTAGACCATAATTATCAGCAGCGACCTTTGCCCACCTATGCTATTCAAATTACGCCAATTGTGTTATGTGTATTACCCAATTGTGTTATGTTTATTACCCGGTTACACCAGTTCTTGGTTGGATCTGACAAACACTGCCCATAGCATTACTTGTGCCCACCCATGGAAAAATAATGTCACCCAAAACCACATGTGCATGGGTGGGTTTGGGCAGGGGCACCCAATGTTGGGCTCTACTATGGAATGGATCGTCCATCGAGAAGGTAAGGGGAAAAGGTAAATGAAGAGTCTTTCTTTTTAATCTTTTCTTCTAAGCTCATAGCAGCGGAAAAGCCGTGCCAACCGTCACTTAGAGAAATATTAACTTGAACCCAATTTGTAATGAAGTGTATAGAAAGGGATGCGAAGCTCTTAGGAAATGAATTGAAAAGACCTTCCTATGGACTGGATCGACCATCGAGAAGGTACGGAGAAAAGGAAAGTGAAGAGCCTTTCTTTTTTATCTTTTTTTCCTAAGCTCATAGCAGCGGAAAAGCCGTACCAAACGTCACGAGGAGAAATATTAACTTGAACATAGGGGTTGTTTCATAATAGGTCGATAACATGTACTATAAGGAGCACTATGAACTAGAACACAAGTGACGCACCAATCGGGTGTTTTGAAATGTCACATCCACCCTATTTTCCATGGCATCTTTCATATTAGGCATCCCCCGTTTTTCCCTATGTATAGTGTGTTCAGTGTCCAGCTGTTATATTTTGAATCTATATTATTTTATTATAGATGATGGGAAAACCTCATTGATAAATAGATGTAGAAACTGTCACAAGAGAAGAATAATCCATTTTTTGGTGATTTGATGAACTGGTTTTTTGATTGTTTTTAAAACGCTAGGAAAACGAATTGTAATTTCTTCAACTTAGCTCAGTTGGTTAGGCTGAAGTCTTGAAGGCGAATACAAGTAGCTCAGTTTATTGGTTCATATCTTGTGGCAAGGGCAACGGCGGATGTCGTCATGTCTATGTGGTGGGTGGTAGATTCTTGCCCCAAGAATGAACAGAGTTGTCAGAGAGAGAGACTGTGACAGACTCTTGAAATATGGTATTCAAAATTATATGGCAAAATCCACCTAGAGCCTAGTTATAATATATCGTCAAAATGCACACAAGCCACTTTTCAAAAGTCCAAGAGACCAATCTACCTGAAAATATTCTCATATGCAAAATCGTGTTTTTGAATGGTAGTAATTATCAATAATTATAACGACCACAAAACTATGTACCTTTATTTTATAAAGGCACACATATATTTTTTAAGCATTGAATAAAAAAAATTTACACAAAATCACATATTTTATTAAAATGTTGAGATTTATAACCTATATCAAGAAGTTATATCTGGAGTTAGGCACTTGATGGAGATTTATAGCAAGGTATGAAACACATTTAGAAGAGTTAAATCAAAAAATAACAAAAATTGCTATTGATTTTGTCAACACAAAAAATATTTCATATTTAAAAAAATTTATTTTTTATAAAGAAATATTTTGGCATTCTTACAACAAATAATATAACATTGAAAATTGATAACAATAAAATTACAATCATTACAATAAACTTGAAATGATCAACAATGTGAGATATCCAAAAAAAATCAATTAAATTTTTTGGATGATTATTATGTATAAAAAGATCAAATTGTAAGAATAAAAAAACTCAAGTGTCATTTTCATGATCTCATTAGTATGAGTTGATGAAAATGTTTGATGAGCATTTACATACATATTTTTATGAAGTTTAAGTATAAAAATTGATGTAATATTATCCACAAATGTGCAAAGTGTATTGTGAATGCTTTAAAACATTTTGAATGTATTATTATGTGATTTTGTGAAAATTTTACATCTTATAAATCTATTTATTATTTTAATAAACTGTGTTTTGAATTTTATGATCATAGCAACAAAAATAGTGCAGATGAAATTTTAGTTTCTAGTAATGCAGTATTTGTATTTTATTGTGTAAACTTTTTATCTGTAAAATGAATAGTCTAATTGTATTTTGCAAATTGGATTGTTTTGTGTTATGTTATGAACATTTTGCCAAATACATTGATAAAAGAGTTATATGCAAATGATACCAGATGTTTCTTTGACAAATGCAAAGTCAAATAATCTCTTAATCATGCTTACAATTAGGAAATAATTGCAACAAATTAGTGAAATCATCCAACTAGATTGAGAGTTATTGTCAACTCATGTAGAAAAAAACTAGATAATGATCTTGTTTATTAGCATTCACTATATAATGTATAGATATTTTAGAAGAAAATTGATGCAAAAGGAGAAGACAATAATGCTTAATGGAAACAGTATTTTTACTTTTAAGAGAATGACATGAATATAAATTATTTTTTAACACTATGCATTCAAATATTCTTAAGAAAATGCATAGTTGATCATGGAAGATAATGACACAATTTAAATCATGCCAAGTTTTTATTTTAATTTTGCTTAAACTTAATTGGTCACATATCTCACTAGTCAAATATGTAATTGTATTAGAAATAAATAGTTATTGTAATAATAAAATCTTTTTTAATTTGATAATATTTTTTTTTTAAAATTCCAATTTTATTCATGTGTTTCAATTAATATCTATTTTGAGTTTGTACATAATTTAGACCTAAAGCAATAAAAATAGCTCAAATTCATATGACAATTAAGTTCAAATTCATAAAATTTGCTAAAATATCTTGTTTACTTAAAAGTTAAATTTTTTATTAATTATGCCTTACAATATAGAAGATTGTCTAAATTAATACTGCCTAAATCAATAAACTGTGATATTTAATATGTGCGGTCAAATACCAAGTCGGATTCATTTATTTTTAATACTCCAAAAGTTAATAATTGATACGACACAATGTTTTATAATGATCACCACTATGGAAAACATAGATTTGACACAAATTCATACATTTTGGCAGCTAAACCTTGGAGAAATCCTCTGAAATTGGCATCTGAACAAACTTGCTAAACCTCATAATGTTATCTTTTACAGGAGGATTTCAGCCGATTGTTTGAGTGTCAAAAAAATTTGTTTGTTGATTGACAGAATCGTTAGAGTATGTTTGTCTTGAAGCCACTTGATCAAGTCTGCTTGAGTGAGCGATGGATGCTTCTTCTTGTGCTCACAAAAAGCTATCTGAACTTCGTTGGTGATGTTCGTATCGGTAGATCTCTGTGAAGTCATTATGTTGTGATTCTGATTGTGGCTGCAGTTGTGGTTGTGGGTTGCTGTCATACCAGGTGAAAGCCACGGCTCAATTATTGACTCTATCTTTATTAATATCATGTCTAAATTGATACATAACCTCCGGTCTCGACAGTATTAACTTAGACAAGATATAGTGTTATATACAATTTTATATTAAATTTAAACGTGTATTTAAATTTAATTAAAAATATATTAAAATAGAAAAAATATCTAATTTATGATAAATAAAAATCATATTATAACTAATGTAAGTAATAAATCTTACATCTGTTATATTTGAAAACTAATGTATGCATGTTTCAATTTAATACTCTTGTGATAACACTAAGTGATATAAAAATAATCATCTCAATTTTGCATGTACGTATAATTTATTGAAATACAAAATTAAGTTAAAGTTGATTCAAGAGTATCACATCACAAATCTAGTTAATAATGACATTTCTAGAGTATGAATATTCATCATCTTAGAGTAGAATATAGAGTGATGACAACAATAAAGAACAGTAAAGTATACAAATAAAGAAATAACATCTTCATTATTCTAGCATTAAAGTTATATGAAATTATTGATGCGGATTTTGACTTCTACATTAATGAATGAGTAAGAATTCGTTATACTTGGCAAAAAAGTATGTCGTTACTAGTCTATTGCGTTTTTTATTTACATACGTTTTTGCTTTGCTCTACAAATATTACTCTTCAGCTTTATAAAAAGATCATTTAACTTAGAGCCACACAGAGTTCTTCTTTACTCATTTGATTAAGATAGTTAGAATACAATACTATACAATATTATACAATATTGTTTTAGAATATTGTAAAACAATTGTAATGTAAAACAATTTGTAATCACGATATAATCACTCCTAGATACTTAACTTCCAGTTGTTTGAAAATTTTTTTTGACATGATGGATATTTTTTCCTATCAAGCCAAAAAAACCAACCATTTTTTTCGTTTTTGTCATTTATGTGTAACCTTGTGTATTAGAATATGTTTTTTGGCTATAACATGAGCATTTTCAAAACTATATCACATGGTAGATGTGACAAAGTAAAGTAACGTAGTATATAGAAACATATATCAAGGTCATAGGATTGAAAGACAAATCCTTGTTATGTCTCACACACTTTAAAATATTAATTACTACAATTCACACCAAATAAACAGATAATTTGCATTGTTTATTGTCATATCAATAGAAAATGGAAATGATGGATTTAATGAAGTGGTCACCCTCGCATGTGGAACTCTCCACTAATGTAAAATAAGGATTTGTATGTCTATTTTATACACACCCTCATTTATTTATTGTATGTGTAATATACAATGCATGTGTATTTATTGTATATTACACATGATAGATTGATCATTTGCGTTGTTTATTTTCATATCAATACAAGATAGAAGTGATCGATTGTACGTTCGACGTTAGTCTCCAATTTAAGCCTCTACCTCTTTCTTTAAACCACTTTATATAGCATGGGTAATACTTCAACCAAATGTTGGATGATAGGGTATTGTGATTACATCCCAAGTCAGATCACATTACATCTATTTCGACTATAACTAAATTTTACAAAATAAATAAATTTTATAAATTTACAACCATTATAAATAAACCACTTGTAATATACTTCAAAGCACAAAATCAATTAACATCGTCATCCACAAATTGTTCAGTAATTCATCCTCATAGAGATACATATGTTAACAGAAACTCTGGACTGCTTTTGCGCGAGACTTTGAACACAAATCAATCCTACGTATGAGATAAAAGACCAACCATTATTAACCCTTGCATCCTCCTTCGTTCGGTTTATGCTACTTAGTTCACCTCCATCTTACCAAGATAAGCACCATAGTCTTCATGATTCTTAGTTGAAGTTAGCAAGACAAGAAAACTAGCATGTGAGTACACGCGAGGGTAGCTACAAGGAGGTGGATCAATCTTCAATAATCAAGCTTGATTTCAATCTTTTATTTTAGTACGAACCTTGATTTTCTTCCTACAGAAATAGAGGCTAGTAAAGTACTTACTTAAGGGATTATTTGCAAATGTGGGCACAGATTGTGCTTCTTATAATCCTGTTCTAGGTCCCGTAGATATAACTGCAGAGTTGTGGATGCGGATAGATGAGTGCAAATTCACCATCCGAAGTACCATACAGGTATCATCGATCTTAAAATTCAAGAACTTTTATTCCATCGCTCTGCTTGTCTATGATTTCCCACAAGTCTTCCTTCTATCACGAAAGGAAGTGTCATGACGACATTCATGCGTACTTCATGGGCGGAGCGGTGTATAAATGACAGTGCACATTCTCGAAATTTACACGAAACTACATAAGTTAGATGGACGTGACGGATCTGCGAAGAAGTATATAAGCAGTTGTATACTTGCCAGCAGACTATGCTGGATTTAAGTGGCATAATGTCCTTTCGTTGCACAATGCAGTGATATTGATTTTGCGTGAGAACATGTGCGTGGGTATGCTGTGTAAAACCCCTGTGTATAGAAGAAGGTACCCATACTTTCTGTGACTTTACTTCCTTTTGTCACCACAAGCCTGGTAGCCCTAAAATCTCCGGTAACCTTTCCTGGTTAGAAGCACACTTCGGCTACTTGGCAGCAGACACGAAAGGGGAAGGTGACAAAAGGAATTAGTGCGTCTTAACACGTCCTAAACTTCAGCGTTCGGTCTTGCGCACCAAGACATAGTCAGCGCGTATCACAGGCCCTTAGGTAGATGCAAATACAAGAACCTGAAAACGTAATTGTTTCATTCTCGAGTGGGACACATCTTACATTTCTCTCGCGACTCTTTCTGGTATAGAATCGAGGTGTAAATGCTTCATCTTCACATAAAGTGAACCACTTGCAACGAGAGGGTTCAGTTCGTGTGGTTCAAGTGGTTCACCAAATGATCAACTTTAGACATGGTGCAGTCTGAAGTTCAGTAAGCAAGGTAAACTGACTCTGTTAGAGCCTACGAATGTATCTTGATCTACGACAGTCAGTACCCTCACAAACTCAACCACATGCTCCCTGCGCACTTCTCCTGCTCGTTTTCTCAACCCCTCGTGCGCCGAAGTGATCAAACCTTCCATCTTCATTAACCCTTCAAATTTGTTCTTAGACTTTCTCGGGTGGATAGGGGACAAAATGAAAAGATCAAAAGACAAACTTGTTCTCCTCTTCTTGCTCAGATGTTCAGATGGAGTGAAGTCGGTCCGAACCATCATACTGGAAATCAGAATACATGTTTACAAAAGTGTACTCCAAGCCAACAGGCATCCTGTGACACTCAATGGATCGAAGTGGTAAAATGAGTATTCTTACGAAACAGAATTACCGAACACCGGACTCCCTGCCCAAGTGATCTCTGACTGGTCGTTTGATTCACCAACTCTTCATGAACACGTCTTCTTGGTGAAGAAGACAAATTTCTCATCCTAGGGAAAACGTTCGGTTCACAAGAGAAATAAGAACAAAATTTCAGGCGAAGGATTGATTGCTTCCAAACACTCACCATTACAACACAACCTACTCGAGGAAAAAGCAACAAGCAGCCTACCAGGGCTTGCGGTATGCTGTGTGGCTAATCTAATCAGGAACATATACGCTGGAGAACTAGAAACCACCAGTGTCCATGTTCTCTTTACATCTTGGATTAGGCATCTATGAGGTATCCATGCTCTCAGCTTCTCCTGCTGCCTCTCCCTCACCGGCATCATCTGGACCGTCGCCCTTCTTGCCTGCCATGGATTAAAACTTCGAACAATTTAAAACCAATCCGATGAAGATTAAGCAAGAAAAAAAGACAATTTTTCTCCTAGAGAAGTTATTCTATCGTCTGATTTTCCACCCACATGACCATTAAGGGACAGGGCAGATGGTAGAATCTCACATAAATCTACAATCTTCTCTATCACACTATTGGTGACTAAATGAATGACATCTTGATTAAACGCAGTGAGGCTAAAAGGCAAATTCATATGTCAGAGGGATGGAGCATTTGATTTGTCACCTTTCTTCTTCTTTCCACCACCTTTCTTCTTGGCCTTGGTACCCAAAGCTAACCAGCCCTTAATTTCGGCGTCTTCTAGAGGTTTAGTAGGCTGTAGCTCTTGTAGAGCATGCCCAGTAATTCTATCAGATCCATTAGGCATAAGAAGAACAGTAAATTTGATGTGAGCCACGAGATCCCCTGCGAGAAACCAAAACACCAGATCAACTTCAATGGAATCATCATCCTCGACTTATGCATAAGAACTCCATACATGCAACTATGAAGTAATGAGAAGGTGACGCTCGACAATAGTGAAGGGTACCTGGCTTCTCATGAAGTACAGGGTATGGCTGTAGCAACTCATGGTTGACACATTCCACCAACCCAAGTCGGGCCCGCTTCTCTTCAAGAGCCCTGGCCGCCATTTAGATGAAAGTCTGTAGTTAGTCTCAACATTATCCGAGCACGTAGGAGAGGAGCCACAGAACAAACCTACATGACACAAAAAGTTGCAAAAAATAATCCACTGGACTACACCAAGTAAGATATCTACTAATATTGCCAAGTCAGCACAATTCACAAAACCCATCATGGTTGGAGAAAAAAACCTTGCAGTGAAGGGCATAATAGGAAACTTGGTGTTAATCTCGCTGAAAATGAACCGAGATGCTCTCATTTTGAGATGATAGCTCTTGTCAACAGCCCGCTTGTAAACAGTGGTTTGTTTCTCGTCAAGAAGCTTTGGCTGTAACATGACAATTACAGTTACCAAAAGCTGTAGGAGACAATCTATCTCACAAGGAAGATCGAAGAGTGGCAATTAAAATGTACAGCTGGGATGGTCACGATTGCTGGACATAAGAAGAGAACTTCTCAAATTTCAGCGTCCATAAGGCAAACATACACTGTAGACATTCTAAGCAACCCGCGTGAATTGGAAGTGTTAATACCATTTTTAAATAACATTCGGCTTTTAGAGAATCTAATCCTGGACAGATACAACATTGAGATCCTGGCCCTTCGCCTCGCAAAAATTTAGCTGTACAATATGTATCGTGGACCCGCTTGTCAAATGATAACTTATACCACAAACATAGATATACTCCACACTAAGCAAACGTAAAACTGGCGACCGAGGTCCACAACTAGAAAAAGTCTTCCGGACACTACTGTATGACATGTATCAATTAGGATGACGTCATTCTGGAGTTCTCACCTTCCCTTCGCCAGTGCTGGTGACGATATCGATGGCGTAAACCTCGTTCTCTTCAAACTCTGCATCATCAACGCGAGTCTCGGGATTCGATACACTCAAGATTACTTTGTTCGCGTCTATGACAAACTGCTTCATTTGGTGACTGAGCACTCCCTCTGCAATCTTGCAGTCGTAGGCGGCAGCCACCTTTTGAAGTGCTTCTGTCACATCCTTGTTCTGGACAGTGGAGGCAATCGAAACTCCGTGAGCAAGCTGGCGCAGAAAAAAAATTGAAGGCAGACAAGATAGTGCGTGTAGGAAATCGACTTGTGTCCGATGCACAGCTACTGAGTTTTGGTTTACAGATTTGTAAGTCCATGTGGCCGACTACACGAATTAAGAAGAGATTTACGTAGAGACACACGAAATTTGTTTTAAGAAAAAATCTGATTTACGGAAGTGATGTTATCTCTCAGCTGATAATTACCTTCCTTCCAGGCCTGACCAGCCGGAGGGCAACCTCAGCTGCAGTATTGCAAGCAGCTATGACATCAGCGGCCCTTCCGGTCACTGGACCGTCTTGAACGACGTGAGTGTGGGCAACCACAGCCACAAATCCATCGATGTGACATCCTAGATCGCTGTAAAAAAAAAAAACCCAGGGTGCTTCAGCCACAATCAGCAGCTTCTGCAACTTCCTAGCACGTAACTTACATCCTTGACCCCAAGAAGACCAAACTATGCAAATAAGAGCGGAGACTGAGTGGCGGATGTATCCACAACAAATGGAGTGGCGACGTCATGCAAAACACGAGCTCAATTCACTACATAGACTGCAAAACAAATAAAAAGGAAAAGCGGACTTACATTTTCACGATATCGTTGGCGGAGACGAGTGACTCATCGCTAGCCAGAGGGGAGTTATGGCAGACGGTGTTGTTCAGTGACACGCAAGTCGGAAAAGCGACTCCTTTCTCGATTTTCTTTTTCGACTGTTTGAATACATTGGCGGTAAGACTGAATGACACAAAACCAGAAAAAAGCATGAGTATTGTTCACACGGGCACCATGCAAGACCCAGGGTGGTACCACTAGTTTAGCCGCTTCATACTTGGCTGTAAACAAGACCGGCTTTGTCCTCGCGTTCAGCTCTTATTTCGCACAACAAACTCAAAAACAAACCCCAAATAGGAATCACAAGCGCCTTGCCAACTGATATAAGGTTCCTCGATCAGAAACCTCAACAGACGATAGATGAATTCTTGCTTGAGAGAAAACGGAAGGGAAAATGAGCAAAACTTTGGCTTGGAAGGACGCGTTTCATGGATAACAATTAAGAGGGGATACGATCAAGTGGAAAAGCGCTTGACAAAATCATATCGAGAATTCCAAGCAAGTTCCGAGTGTCAGTACGTAACACTCTCAGAATATGTTCAGAGACATTTATTTGAAATCTAAACCCCAGAGGTTTTCGGCTTTGTTGGCGCTACTGGGCTTCTACGAGTACCTTCCACAGCTTCAAACATGGCAGCAGAGGGAATGACGGGTAGAAAAGACGTACTCTCTAATGACAGAGTCTCCCTTTTCGCACAGGTCGACCACCTTCACTCCAGCTTTGCACTCGGCCACTACTAATTGTAGAGCCTCTGAGATCACGAAATCCAGATTCGGAAGAAACGTTAGACCTAATACATCAACTTCACATTTCCAACTGGGCGGGAATCATTCAATAGTGTAAAATGCGGCCGGTGATGCGTCGTGAGAGGGACCGATCAACAGACGCACAAAATCACGGGAGCGTCACCTGTCTCTATCCATGCTCAACATTGTACTCAACGGCATTCCAAATTGCATTATCCGGCACCGTAACATTGACCTATCTGCAATCCCTAAACCTCAGAATTGGCAATATTCCACCAAACAGAGCCGCAGAGCGTCCAACAAATCAGGAAATACACCAGCTGGCAGAAGGAGCAGCAGTTTCTTTGCGCCTCTACAGTCTACATCACCAAGAGGGGCAGAGAAAACGGCAACTCACTGTTAACAATTTCTGCAGCATTTTTATACTTAGTGACAACGTCTGCTGAAGTAAGGTCGAGTTCCTTCTCCTCCTTGTTCTCCTCGTCTGACATTGCTATAGGTGCACCACTGGAATTTGCCCAACCTCGACGCCCACACGCTACAACAAAGAAACCCTACGATCCACAACTCCCAACCCTGCACCGTGTAGAGGAATAACTTCTTCTCCTCCTCCCAAATTTCACAACAGACCACAATGACCTCTTCCTCCTCCTACCCTGAAAACGACCCGATGTCGATGGATAGATGGAGAGACGGACAGACAGCAGAAACAGATAGATAGCCCAAACGATTCAACCGGGCCGGGCAAGCTGGAGCCCAACCAAAACAAGGCAACAAGCAGCAGCACAAGCAGCACAAGCAGCAGGGCAGCAGAAAGGAAGGAAGGAAGGAGGGAGGCTCTGGGTAGGGAAGAGAAGGGGGAGAGAGGGGGAATGGGGGAACGGGGAGTGCAGGAATACAGCCACTTGGGGGCAGTATGAGTGATCGGCGGCGAAACAGGGCCCGGGTTTTGCAAATCTCCCCACTCTCGAAGGTGCCCACCCGCTCCCCATCGCGGGCGGCCCGCGTTCGCCAGGTCTTTCCCGGGCCACGCTCCTGCCCGGCCCCGAGCCCCAGCCCTGCCCCTGCCCCTGCCCTGGAGCTCGCCTTGGCTCGGGCGCCTACGGGCCTCCCGGCTACGAGACCCGGTTGCAAACCCCAATGCCGGCTAGGGTTTTCGCTTCCCTGGGCCCTCGCGATGTGCTCTTCTGCTTCCTCCGCTCCGCAGCTATGGCGTTTCTTTCGAGCCAGTAATGTAGTTCGCTCACGGCCCCTCGGTTACTACAGTCGCATCTCGTCAAGTGCGCCGCCGCGGGGCCATAATGGTGCACTTACCGATTGATTAATTTACCTTTAATCAGCTCAAACGATGCCCACGTTACAAAGTTATAAAGATGGAAATACAAGTACTTAGCCCTAGCAAACTAATTTGATTATTATTACTTGGTTCTCGATTTGGTGCTATGGCTTCGGTCCATTTCGTCTGACTGGAGCTGCATTCCTTGCCGCCCTCCCTCCGTCCTTTTCCAAGATTGAAAGTATGCAGGATTTGCGAACCCATTTTCTTGAATCTAGGAACCGCTTCATAGCACAATTACGAGAAAATGCTTCTTGAACTACATTTTATTTGGGGAAACATGCTTGTAGCTGTACACATGAGAGACTCTACACTCTTCGATGGTGCACTTAGTGATGCTAAGGGGGATGGCAACTATGTGGTCTTGTCTCTGCGGCTCCAAATCGTTGTTGTGTTTGTGTACTGTCTCGTATTGTACGGTGCGTGTCTGAAGAAGAGGCTCTTCGTATTGGATATGAGCTCAGCTCGACCAAGTACGCGTCAGGTCTTAAAGCTACAGCCTTTGCAGTTAGTACAGTGTGTGGGAAATTCGTCTGTTGATTTTTCTCTTCTTTGCATGTGGAATGTTCGTGAAGAGGCGGTTCTTAGCCTGGCCTGTTGATTGATAGCGTTTGTGTGTGCTCCCTAGTGATAAGAATATGGACTGGAGGAAAATTGCTTTGAGGTGATGTCAAGCAAAAGGGCAGCCTAGAGGGGTTTGTTGTAGCTGTGTGGATAAACTTTTCTTAATTACGGCTCTGCTTTAACTTCCACTTCAAGTCGATTGTGTGTGTTTTATCTGTCAATACAGTTCTAAACGATCATCCAGCCTACGATCTTTCGTGTCTTCCTATAACCTATTTGCTACTGCATTTCTGGTGCTGCTTCACATTTTCCCAGTCGGGTTAGTCCTGCATATCCAACTGTATGATGTTGTCCTTTCCTGTATTCCTAACCTTTTTCTGTTCTACACAATGGGCATGTAGCAAAGCCCAGGATGGATATATCAGTGCAACAGTGAGTCCTGTAGGGCTCAATGTCTTGGTCTAATCACCAAATGAATAACTGATCCCAAACTGTGTCCTCGATGTCTGAGAACCAAATCGAAGTCTCTTGAGTGCCAAGGCGCAACGTGTGGCATGCTTCCCCAAGTCCAGCAGTCAGTAGGCTTCTCTCACCAGCTTTCCATCGAGGTTTATCGACCGTTTCATCAACATCTCCAGCTTCTATTCATCGCACTTCCATATCTGAAAGCAAAGTTCTCTACCCAGCACTCATTCCATCTGCGATGGAGGTGCCTTATTAACACGTTCTATGTCCGGAGTCCTAGCTTCTTTCTAGGACCAGCTTATTTCCACACATTGATGCAGAGTTAGGCATTCTTTCACCTGCACTTAGCCACCTAAATGATTTTTAATATTTCTTCTTCTCTTCAGGCTTACAAGCCGAGTTTCTTACTGGATAAGTCTTACCGAGTTTCTTACTTGGTGGTCAGTTGCGGACTATCTCTGAACAACGACATCTCGTGTGCGCGCACAGGGAGGGAAGTCCTTCGAGACAAATTTTCATCAACAAGTTGATCACGAGAATTACAGGAATTTATAAGGAAATGTGTTGGAATGTGTAGAAGAGTATATTCTCAGGGGCACTTGTAGAGTGCATCCCGTGCCAGTACTGGAGGAAAGTTGTGGATGATTTTTGCCAACTGTTCTGTACCGTGATCCCACCAATTGTAGATACGTAAGACGATAAGCGACCAAAAGGACGGTTCGTGCAGGAGGTGAACACAAGTGGAGACTCACCGTGCTGCCGGACCTCATAGATGGTAGAGATATCTATATTTCGTCAAATTTTTATTTTTTTTCAGGGCTGCATCTTGTCCCATGCTGACCGCGTTGACCGCTTTCACTTTCTGTGTATTTTAATAACTCACGACATCCTTACAGAAGTAGACCGAGCCTCGTAGTTTGTCATGGAATACATGAACTAGAGTTGGTGGATCGTGCCTTATGTAGATTGAATTAAGGTGGAGCTCATAATAACCCGTACCTTCGTACCAGTACTTTCATACCACCTTACCCCGCACATCGGAATCGTGCACTCTGCCGACTCTTTTTTAGCTTAGAAGTCCGATGTTGCTCAGTTCCACGATTCATTATCGAGGTTGCAGAGTTTATATGTGCTTACTAGGTTTTCATAGAACTAAAGCGGCGCGTCGACCATCTTATCACAGATTTGTGGATGATGCACGGGGCCGGAGAATCGGCAAGTGTGTACCCCAGAAACCAACGCAAACTTCGTGAGAATGCCTGAGATTCGGCTAAGATTCCAAATACCTCTTATTCCAAATACCCTCCATCAGCGTACAGGACTCTGCATCAGACAATTAATCCTGAACAACCAAGAAAGAAGGTGAGAGACAAAGAATTGATTTGATCCGGACGTCCTTCGAGGAGCACACCTTGAAGCATTGGCACTAGAATTCGACCAACTTGGCAATGGTCAAGTACGGAAGTGATCAAGTCAGAACGCTCTTGATTTGCAGGTTTTGAATCTCAACGAGGACGAGATTGCTACTTACAGATGAAGTTGGCTACAGTATTGTCATATGACGAAGACCAGAGCATGAGGGACAGCGCAGATCCTAAAAAGCAACTGTCAGGACACTCTGCTGCTCTCCATTCCCTGGTTTACCTGCACGTGCTTAACATCACATTTGGGAAGATCAAATGGATGGCCAGTTCTTCTGGGATTGGTACACGGGAACATGCTACGACGAGGCTGACAGGCAAGCTCTACGACCTCTGCTCCACTCTGAGATTTTCATATGAGCCGGCGCTGGGTGTAAGTGTCCCACCCTGCATATGAAATAGAGCGATTGTGCCCTGACGCTGCTCTCTCTGACCGAGAACATCTTCCTTGGAGCATTATATGATCCTCGCAAGAACCTTGCCAACCGAGGAGATTGAAGGCACACTGACAATGAGTGGATTGTCGTTGATAACATGGTGACTTGGGCAAGAGTTCGGGTTGATGCTCAATCAACGGGTGAATCATTATCTAAAAGGTAAGGTCGGCTATGATGCTGATGGTTTTCAATCGTCAGCAGCATCAGAGGGAAAAATGTTTTTACCTCATACCAATTCTGGGTAGGAAGTACGAGGGCTACGCTAAGTTACGCAGGTCTCAGTCTCTTGTTGCACAGAGTCCAGGATCTTACTCTTGAAGACTTAAGGAACCAGTTTGAGAACCTGCTCATTAGCAATCGTGACAAGTCAAGCGAACGCTGGACACTCGAGCCTTGGCGCAAAAGACTGGGTTCGAAACCTTGAGAGCTGGGAACAGGGTCAGCCCACAAATGTGTACACGTCTTCATCCTCTCTGTCAATCTCGATCGAGTGGTGACTCAACACACTCGAGGCAAGGATGCTGCTCAGTCAGCTTGGAAGATCTGACAAATAATTCCATTTAGATGACCCGTGGATCTTCCATCGACGAGGGCAGAAGAAGCTGAGCACCATTCCCTAGAAAAGGTCATTCATTCATCCTCGAATAGGATAGATTGATGGACAAGGAGCTTTGTGAAAAATAAAAACTTGCGGGAGAGAAGAATCTTTCAATCCAATCGCCTCCGTTTGGACCTACTGCGCATGGTTTCCTGTCCTGATCCTCCTGTACACCCAGATCCTTCGATGGGTGTCGCCTCGGAAGTGCTGGTCACATCTTCCATCCTGGAGGATCTTCTCCTACTGGAACTGGGCCTCGATAATGGGGCCTCGCGGTAATGCAGTCTTAGATCTGCCTGTGTTGTTGTCGTTCTACTGTTATGGCTGCTCTGGGGCGTAGCACCACCACCACCACTTGCTGCACCTGTGCTGGGCTCCGGTTGCGGCTGCACTACTGCAGCTACCGTTTGTTCTTCTAATCTTCTGGAGCTCGGTGGTTCCACCATCAGGGATGGACAAGCTCTCGGAGCTTGGACAGCAGGACAGACCTCTTCCACAAGACGGTGACCGAGTGCGGATCCTGCGTCTGAGTTTGCTAAGATGCTGGGATTGACAGTTTCTAGAATCAAATTTTCAGTATGCAAAGAAGACGACTGTGCAGGAAGCAAGTGATTCATCTGCAACAGTCCTCCTACTCCTCCTCCTGGCGCTGGCTGCTGAAAAACCTGAAGACGAGTGCTCTCTAAATCCACTGTCTTCTCCCCGCCTGACAGACGAGAGCGCATGGCTGCCACCCAGTCTCCAGCCTGAATTGGGTTCACGGTGATGAGCCGGCTGAGGCTCGAGTCTTCTACTCCTCCTCCTCCTGCTGCTGCTGAACCAGAAATCCCAACATCCAAGCCCATGGGTAACATCTGAGTCAAGTGGTGCTGTGGTCTGGACGTTCGAAGCGGTGCATGATTTCCTGCTCCCCCGGAACTGTTGCTGGTGAAATCTCCTCCGCCCAAGCTATCGGTCGTTGTGGTTCCGTCCGTTCCCCCAATTCGCCCTTGCACTGCATTCATCCAAGCTGCAGCCTGCACGGGATTCACAGGACCTACCATCCGACTAATATTCACAATGTCCTCCCAGTCCTGCGACAGCAATGCAGCTGCAGCTATCATCTGCCGACGCTCATCCACCCTCTCGGTCAGACTGGAGATCGAGGCCGAATTCATGCCATTTCGAGCTGATGCTTCCAGGGCCGCCCGCAGCTGCTCCCTCCTCTCAGACATCCGACGCTGGAGAAAAGCCGTCCCGTTGTTGCTGGCACCATTTCCACCTCCGCTGCGAGGATCCTGATGCGTACCTGACGAAATGTTGTTCACCCCGGATGGTGCAGTTGCGTGTGAGTAGGTGCCATTGCCTCCTCCTCCTCCGCCGCCGGAGCCACCATTATCCTGCGGTAGTCCTTCGGATTGATCTATCTCCTCCAGATTGGAATTGCCACTAGTGTCATGGCTGGTGATCTCACCCCCTGGAGCTGCGGTGGGCTGGCCCGCCTGATCGTTTGCTCCGTCGCTCATCATGGCGATCGGGGTAGCTTCTTCAATGTGCAGAGTGGTGCCTGACCCGAGAACCTGCAGATCCGACAGTCCTCTGGCGTCCTGCTGGTCTCGCTCTTGCTCTCGTGCCAAAGCTCTCTCCCTTTGCTCCCTCTCACGACCCCTGTCCTCTCGTTCTCGCAGCTGCCTGGCGCTCTCGACCCTGCGAGCTGGAGGTCGAGGTGGGACTCTGTCAGCTGCTGAGCCGCCAGGCAATCCGCCTCGGGCTGAAATCAAGGCGCTGCACTCGCGTCCATAGATGGGAGTGATGGAGTTTTCATCGATTGCTCCTTTGCAAACTGGGCACTCTTTGTGGTACGAGTGAATGTGCAACCATCGGTACAGACAGGGCCAGCAAAACAAATGCCCACAGCATGTAACTACGGCTTCATTTGCCTTCTGAAAACAAATGTTGCACTCAAAATTTTCACCTATGCTACTGTAATTTTCTTCCAGCCCCTTAAGCTTTGAGTCATCGAGCCTGGCTGCTGCAATTCCAGCTGGAGCAACACTCGAGTCACCAAACCCTCCCCCTCCTCCTCCTCCTCCTGCTTCTACGACTGAGATCCGAGCTGTGGGAACCTCGGACAATGATCTCGATCGGAGGCCGAGTGTGCCGCCCTCGGGATCTGTACTCTCGTGATGCTGCTGCTGGTGGTGATGGTGAGAGTGATGCTGAATTGCTCTGTTTGCCCGTGACCGTCGACGTGCTCGCTGCCTCACATGCGGCTGCAAAAGATGCGATGCTCTGGTGTTGGTCTCAGCCTGCTGCTGCTGCTGCTGTTGTTGTTGCTGCTGCTGCTGCTGAACGACGGCTGCAACATTGACATCGGTGGGGATAAACCCCTGCAAAAATCCTGGAGGCTGCGTCATGCGAGCGTGCTGGTTCATGTCCTGCTGAAAGGCTTGAATCTGACTCTGTAGGTTGGGGTGCACCTGGAACGAGGGAGGGAGAGTCAGAACATTTGGGTAGCCCCGATGGTGGCGCAGATCTTGACCGAATGCGCCAGGGACTGCGTTATCCTGCACCAAGTGCCCGATCTGCCCCATGGGCAAGCTCGACCCTGCTGCCTGCTGCTGCAACCTGCCGTCCATGGGAGCCAGCGGAGGAGTCTGCATGAAAGGGTTCATAATTTGGCAGCGAGGCGGTGGAGGACCTTGGGTCGTCATTGTGCCTTGATCTCCATTATTTCCTCCTCCCCCTCCTCCTCCTCCTCCTAGATTTGCTGCAGCTAGTCCTGGGAATGCCATCGACATGGACAATGTTGTGTTCGGAGGCGGCTGAGGGTTGATGTTCGCAATCGCCAAGGAGTCCGGTGGCCTTCCGGCCACCGATGCTTCACCGCCTCTCTGATCATTGCTGTGTGAGCTATTCATGTCGAGCTCAGGCTCTGGCGTCGGCAGCGCAACGATGGAAAGCTGGTTGTTCCTGTTGTCGTTGTTGTTGCTGCTGCTGCTGCTGCTCGAGGACTCACTCGGGCGCTGTGGCTGTGGCTCCAGTTCGACCACTCCTTCCGACTCACCTCGCTGCGACTGATCCGTGCCGGGTGCCTCAACTGTGCATCCAACGCAATCCATGGTGATACATTCGACAGGAATCAGTGATGACAGTTCTTCCACCAAAGCTGACACCGACCGAGTTCAATTCATTCCAGTTCAATCCCATCCAATTCAATTCAGCTGGCCTCGTACGGCAATCAGTACCAACTGCCATAGAATCGCTCGTTAAATTCTGATGCAATACATGCAATTGACCACGTCCTTTGATCTGCTTCTTAAATTCGATCCTCCTGGTATTCAATCTTCTGACAGGCAACTCACTCCTACTACCTACGGACAACAATTTTCGTGCAGACCTTGCCCTTTAGCACCATCGCTATCAGACGGCAGAGGAGATAGGAAAAAGTACGTAACAAGACGAAACCTGTAACTCCTCGTTTTTATGGAAATAGTTCCGTGCATCAGTGCGTGCATTTGATGTCAAATTCGCATCATTTCCACTTCTTTTTTCTAAAGCAAGTGACCAGCAAAGAACGAAATGGTCTGAGGGGCCTTGCTCAGAGCAGAGTGAAATTCCTTTCAGTTCCTCGATTAACACTCGTGACAATCTCAAGGCTGCGATGGTAAGGTGAATTATGTGTTTAATAATCATAAATTGACGATCGCAATTACTGACAGAGTTAGTTGCTTCAGGCTCAAATTCTCATCGTCGAGTGAAGGTGAAGTGATCGATCTCATTCTTGAAACTCTGCTGACGGTAGTCGAGTCTCCAGCCCCCAGGCGTTGGAGAGAGGAAATGAATTCTAGGTGTGAGATGAATTACTACAAGCAGACGTGGGATCGGAATCTGAGAATGAGATGTGTGCGATTAATATTGGCAGTTCATCGAGTTTAAAGACGAGAAAAATTTGGCTTACGCAGGGGAAAGGTGAAGGTTTCGTATTCAGCCGGCCTGGACATGTAGTGACAACGATCGGTCCATGTCAATCATGAAATCAGCGTCAAGAGTTGGATGATTTGAGGGAGTGAGAGATTGGCGATTCCATGCAGCCCTTTCGACTTTACTTGAACATGCTCGTCACTATTTCTCATTTCAGTTCTGCGCAAGCCCGCCTTGCAACATCATCATCCGCAGCGGACGAGGGAGCAGCCAGCAGATCGTCCTCCGATGGTCCTCTTCCGTCCCCGACGATTGTTACCAACTTCACGAGAATAGACGAATTGCACGAAGATCCAAGAGCAAATCCAGAGCATGCGCCCTATGATCGTCCCATGGGCGGGGGGAGGGGCGGGGGGCAGACGAGACGGGAGAGAAGAGCGGTCGCTAATAGGGGTTGCAAGAGAAGCAGCGCTTGGGATTCGCAGTCGGACCAATCTTCATTCGCCACGGGACATTGCGCAGTGACCGTTCAAATCGACCCCCTCACCTATTGACATCTTCACTGTGACCATCAAAACCCGTCTCCGACCACCGGATTGGCCCCTCGCTCTCCCCTCGCTCTCGCTCGAGCTTCACTCCCGCCCATGGACTCCGTGCTCTTCCCGTCTCATTGGCTCCCCGTCTCAAGAGGAGGAGGGTCCTCGTTGCAAGAGGCAACATTCTTCTCTCTTGGTTCCAGAACTCTTCCTCCTTAATCTTCGACTTATTTAAAACTAACCCTTATTATTAAACTTAAAACTCTTTCCTTAATCACGGAGGACATTCTGAAATGACGAAGAATGGGAGGGCCCATCGCTTCGTGTGTGGATGACATCCACCGGGTCACGTGGGCTAGTCCCCCCATAGCGTCTAAAACTGCGAATCAATACTGTTGCATTAAGGATATGGAAATTAGTGAGTATATTCATTACTTGATGTCATAATTGATCTAATATAGAATGTCACAGTTAGTGCTTTGTGTGAAACAATGGTTCACTGTCATCACAAATTGGCTATCTGTATAAAAAGTTGAAGAAAATGAATCTTCTATCGCTTAAACAAATATGGCAACATTCGTATCTATATTCCAACATGACTTTTAAGTCGAGGCATTGTAATGATTTTCTCTAACCGTCCGTTTACTCGAAGATATTGTTATTGAGAAGAAAGATACAATATTTTTTCTTTCCACATGGATGATGAACTCTATAAAACTGTGTCACATGTGGGTCATGGATAATATCTATCATGGTACTTTGATCCGTCCAAACCTAGCTACAGGTTTACTTCAATCCAATTAGACCTAGAAGCATGCCAACCTTTTTGAGATATGCAGACACTCGAGTTCATATCAATGAGTCCGCGTTGCAAAAGTGATGTAATATAATATCAATAAATAAAGAGATACGTGACTGAAATCAATAAGTGATTTCATGGATTTATAAAGTAAAATTTTGCTCTACTAGCCAAGCAATGAGAAAATTCAAAAAAAATTTGAGATTTTTATCACAAATTAAATTGAATCATTGGTGGGATCAAAACTATCCATGATCAAGTTTAACAAACATTGAAACATAAGTGGATAGAATTTATGCAATAAATTATTTTATATCAAACATATAAAAATTTCAACTTGTAAATAAAATTTATTTTTCAAAAAAATATTTTTTTAAATGCATAATATGAATTATCAAGAATACTCAAATTTTGATTTGCATTCTTTCAAATAACATATTGATTAAAAGAATGAAATTGAGTTAATATGATCAGAGAAGTTGAATTACAGTATTTGAACATAAATGAGTTCATAATTGTACCATTAAATTCTGTAATTCAATATTCAAATGTGTATATTAATATGATTCATAAGTCAATCACTAACTTACAAGTTAAAGAAAATCAATCACAGCTCAAGTGAAACAACCATTTTGTTTTATTCTTAAATAGTAAAAAAATTTCAGAATGTTGATCATTATGAAATCATCAACAATTGATATTAAACATTTTTTGAATTTCTTGTGAATAGGTTTGCTTAAATAGTATTATATTATTATAAATAAAAAAATTTGATATGTATAAATTAAAATGATTTGTAGCTCTTCTACAGATGTATTTACTCATTACATATAATTAGATGCGAATGTGAAAGCTAATTGGAAAAAATTGGAATAACTAAATAACACATGTACTTAATTTACATTCAAATTTTTATCTCCAATAATTTTAAACTATTTTTTATAAATGATTTACGCAAAAATTTATGTTTTGTAATTTTTTAATGAGGACATTTTTTTAGAAATAAATAATATATAAATATAATTTCCTATTTTTTAATTTATCATGTGTGATCATTGACATAAATATTTATGAAATAAAATTTAAAAACTACTTATTATTTTTAAAAATTTAATAAAAATGTGTGATGTGTTATATATAAATTGAGATCTTGATCATTGAAATTAATTTGTGTTGAATCTGTTCAAAAAATATAACATTATAAATATTGATATTGAACTATAAGTAGTGTCAAACAACAATAGTAGTTTTGCTACACGAAGTTATATATATATATATATATAACACGTACAATATCAAAAGTTAATCTTATCCAAATAATTTTTATTTTGAAGTTATTTTATTAATTGTGAACATATTTACAAAAGATTGTTGTTGTTAAATATTTTGAAATACTTTTAGACTGAAATATAAATAGTTTATTAATCTATGTATTGACATTTTGTGTCTACATGAAAATTGATTAGATTACAAACATTTATGATACTTGTCGATAACATAATCAATTTTGATCTTAAAATTTCAACTATGTAGTTGAAATTTGGCATCTTCAATCAATATTTTTATTCCAAAAATTTATGTTTTCACCAAAGAAGAAATGTCAATAAAAATGTAATATATAAATCTTTTTGATTAAAAAATTAAAAAAAAACATAATTGTGATAAAAAAAAAAGTTAATAAGTTATGACATTTGTGTCAAACATGCATTAATTTGAGCTTTTTAACAATGTCAAGCATTTTGACAATTTTTATGTTGTTTAATACAATCATGTAGCTCACAATTGGAAAATAATCAGAAAAAATCATTTGCACATGAGTCAAAAGTCATTTAACAAATTTGTATTTCATTTAGTTTTTTACTTATTAACTTTCATTTTCAAAAAGAATTTGCAAACAATTGCAATCATGTTTAAAATGTTCAATCTAAAAATAATCAAACTATTTGATTATTTTTGTTATGTATTATGTATGATCATTTAATCAACATAATATCACAGTGATAAAAACCATTTTTACTCCAGAGTAATAGTGATAAGTTCGTCTTCATGTGATATCAAGGGGGCCAAAAGATACCGATTTCTAGACTTATGGTGGTTGCTCAACCTAGAAAATGAAGAGTGAAAGATTAGAGCAAAAAATAAAATTAAAAATCAATCAATTTTAACATTCAAGTCCCAGAGTAGAAATTCATAGCAATTTGTTCATCTTCATGTGATATCAAGTAGGGCAGAAGATTCCCGTCGTCGTTCTGCACTAGTGGTGGTTGCTCAGCCTAAACCATGAAGAATGAAAGATTAGAGGGACAAAATAAAATGAAAAATTAATCATTGTTAACATACAAATTACCAAGTAATAACTCACTGCAATGTGCATAACTGTACGTCTTGTGACGGATTACATTTGTGTTAAATTTTGCATTTTTAATTTCAATAGATTTTTTAACTAAAATTTTAAAATATTTTAAGTAAAATATAGTTTTAAATTTATTATTTTTAATAATTATATATTTTATTTAATTCAATTTTTAAAGATTGATTTATCTTCATATGAGAAATAAATGACATGCAATAATAAATCATAATCAATATTTTATTCAAAATCTATTCTATAATATTAAAAAATTGAATGAATCTTAAGAATGTTTTAATTTTTTGATGAATTATATCAAAATTTATTTTTTTAAATAAAACGTAGTAAAACAAAGATTTAAAATCACGCGTTTAATAATATTGTTTGTTACACGATTGGAAGTAAAATTCAGATTGATGAAAACGGTAGTTTTTTTAATTCAAAAGTTGAATTCAAAAAAGTACTAAAACCCTAAACTCCGACTCCGTACTTACACAACAACAACATAACTCGATAAAAAGATTAAAATGAAATTTTTTAGTATATAAACTAATATATCATAAATAAAAAGTTAATTTTGTTTAATTTTATATTAAACATGAATATACCCAAATAAACATATAATTGATAATGATAAATTTCTAATTAGAAATCAAATTGAATTTTATTATTTTAATTAATATTTTTTAAAATTCAAGTTAATAATTTTAAAAAAGTTGTAATATTAATATATTAATGTTAAATAAAAAATTTATAATAATTACAGATTATTTAAAAATAAAATATGTTTTTGATATAAAATATTTATAGTGATATTATTTTGCATAATAAATTCTCATTTAATAAACAACTAGATGTTAGAATATGTATAAAAAATACGTTTTCAAGTATTCTATAGAAAAAATATTTTCTTTTCTAAAAAAAAAGATTTAAAATTTTTAATTTCCAAAATCTTGATTTTTTCTAACGTTGAAAAAATAATATTTTCCAAAACAGTTATAATAGCATGTAATAATAAGTCAGTTTTAATTAAAAAATCCCCAAATTTTAAATCGTGTGATAAAATTAATTGGATTCAACACAATTTTTTAATTGGTTCGGTTTAATTTAATTGTAGTAATTTTTTTGATACGATATTTAACATAATCAATATATATTTTTAATTTTCTTAATTTTTTATCAAAATATTATTTAAGTAATAGGAAAAAGAATTTGAAATTTTTACAAGAAATAAAATATTTATATCAAATTCAATAATACTCAATTTTACAACAAAAAGAAAAAAACTATGGATGAAGAAATATTCATTTATAAAAAAAATTCAAAATAAGGTTCTTATATATATATTATAGATGATATAATATACATTGAAATAAAAAATTAATTATATTAATGCGTTTGATGATATTTTGAGCTTATTTCAAGATATGCTAATCACATTTTATGAAAAGAGTTATTTATATCTAAAATTTACATATTTTCTTTAAAAAATCAAAGATTTTACTCAATTTATCAAATTGGTAAAAAAGTTATTAGAATTTTCAATGTTTATTAAACTAGGAAAAAATGATGAACCTCCTTTTAGAACACCAACAAAAGTCGATTTTATATATAACTTGTTAAACTTTACATCAACTTTAGTTATTTTAAACGTTTGAATGGAATATTATATGAAACTAATTTTTATACAAAAAATTAAGTCATGAAAATCTATATAATCCTGATATAAAAAAATCTTTGTACATTTCCTTGTAACTTGAAAAGATGAATAAAGTTGTTAAGCCTTATGCAACACAACAAATATTATTCATATGATAAGTTAAAGATATGATTTATATATTCTAATAAATATATAATCAATCTTTATGAAGAAAAATCAATTAAATTGATATTTTTAAGTACATGTTATAAAGAGTTATGAAGAGCATTTTCATAGAATACAATCTATAATTGCTAACATATTCTGAAAAGTTTTGTTCTAACTTGAGATTGAAAACGTATAGAATTTAAATATAATCAATCATTGAAAATTAAAATACTTGCTGGAAATAGTTCAAGAATTTTTTTAGTGCTATATATCAACAAAAAATTTCACTTTGATTCGTTAATTTCAAATTTGCATATGAAAATATAAGAGTCATGTACAGATTTTCATATTTAACATATTATAAAAATTGAAAAGCACTGTAATCAGGTTCACTTTTAACATGACGATGCACCAGAAAATTTTTTTCAGTACAAAATATTAAAGAAAGTCTTATTTTAAGAAAAGTAAAATTTACTTTAGACTTATATATAAAAAATTTAATAATTTAATTCATATCAAATCATTAGCAAAAATGTAACAGAAAAATTTCTATATTTTCCAATGAAGTTACCATTTCATGTATCGGTTGATTGATAAGAACATTTAAAAATGTATATAAAGACAATCAGTTACTAAAAATATGTTGTAAAATATCAATTATGGTGTGGTTTATAAAAAACTGAGTCCCAAAAATTACTTTCCTCCGAGCATACACACATCTGGTAGTACGTGATTACACAATCATGCAAATGGAGGAAGAGATATAAGTTTGAAAATCGGAAGGAAGTAATATGCATGATTTCACCTTATTGTGATTTGAGTCGTTGCATGATCCACGCGCAAAGTAGCTGGTCAGTGATCTGTACAATTAACTTATGTGACTCTATTGCGATCTCTGATTCATAAGGTTCAATTCCTAGATCTGCATCAAACATTCACATTCTAGATTGTTCTCAGTCTAATATCTGTCGAAAAAGTGAACACATCATATCAAAGAAGAATGTGAAGACGCACTCGAAACGTATATAAGTTGAAACGAAACATGTGCGCATATGACTCCCGCATTGATTTGAAAATGTCAATAGCGATTTCTACATCAAACATGCACATTCTAGATTCTACAATAAAGGGAGCACAATGTAGCAAAAAGTATAGGAAAACTAATCACATGGGGTCAGTACCGTGTTACCATATTCAGTACAACATTCTACAAGCTGACCATAAGGTTAACAGATGAACGTAATCTATATCGAATTCATACTTTGGATGTGTATAGACAATTGTTGTTAGAATATTCTTCAATTAAAAATATGCATACGAGATTGAAAACGGTGACGTATGGAAAAAATCGTCGAAACATATAAAACGTAGATAAGGACATATATGTGATAGCCTAATTTTAAGATCTGAAGACAAGAAAAATTCTGTGACCAAAGCCTTGATAACGTTTCTAAAATTTGTTAGTGAATACTATAGTACTGTGGTATAGGTGATAGATGTTTGTATTCATCGTTGCGAGAAGAAAGTATGTTCTGGCGTATGTGCAGAGCTAAGCCATTCATTTTTTTTGGACCATCAAGATTAATGTTGCATGATGTTTTATAATTTCAAGGGTGTCATGTTTCAATACAAGAATTTATTGCCATACAAGTTGCGGCAACTTGTAGGACGTCATGCTTGAAGATTTTAACTTCGGTTCAAATTGAGATAGGTTAGATTGGAATATGTAGCATCAATTTATCATGTATTCAAGGTTGTATCCATGACATCAAATGTTCATCAACACAAAGTCTAGATATGTGTTGTCTAGATATAACTTTGCTAATGCATGGATTTGGGTAGATGAATAATCTACATGTATAACTTGTGAGAGTTTAGATTATATTTGAATCTCAACTTTAAAAAAAGCACTTTAAAAATATGCATAAAATTGTTATGTTTACAAATCCAAGTTACATGTATGACTTGGTTATATAATCTTATGTTTTTTTACCGATTTTTTATTTGAAAATTAATCCAAGATTATGATGTTCAGAATAGAAAATAAACTTATTGAAAAAACACATTTATTTATAGCATGATACATCATTGTTTGATACTACTGTAATGTTTATTAATCTTACAAATAATAACATGAATAAGTGCCAGTTGAAAATCATTTGTATATAGTATAATCAATTTTTTGGAAATCTGGAAAAATTGTGTACGTATATGAAATTTTTAGCAGTCAATTTAATTCATATTAAATCAAGATGAATTTTCACATAAAGAAAGCATCGTTTACATCACGACACATATATCAAATAGATTTTTTGCAAAATTACTTATTTGATGTCAAATTTTAACATACCTTTGATAGATTGCTCTAAACGTCTCAAAATGTGGGATTTATCTGTTTTTTTTATCATATGACACACAATGATATGATGGTTAAATGTACCATTTGACAATTGACTTTGACCTTTAAAAAAAATGAATACCAATTTCTTTGAATATGTTATATCCATTTGAAAATGATAATAAAAAACTTATAACATCATTTTCTTGGAGCTATCTTGTGAAAAGTATGACATCAAGAAATTTCTTATACTTTCTAAATTTTTTTATATCATCAATTAATTAAAATGAGACAATTTAGGCAATTCTTTACACATATCTCTATTGTACAGTAAATATAACTACTAGCGACAATTTATACAATGAATGATTAATTTATTTACATACGTCACATGGAGTTTTCCTTCTATGTCTTCACACAACATTTGACGATATACTTATCAACATTTATTTTTTACATCATTTGGTCATGAATTCTAATACCTGATATCAAAATTTTTGGTAACTGATAAACATCTTTGTAAACGTGATGGGAAAATCCAGCCTTGTGATATATGAATAAAGTAAGATTAGTAATAATTTTGAAAGAAGAAGCAGATTTAACCACTATTGTCTTTTCACAATGAGATTGAAAAATTTATGGTGAGAAGTTTGGAGTATGATCATGTATTTAAATTAAAAAACTATGACGAGTAAGATATGATTTCATGCTCTTTTTCTTTGTCTACTGATTAAACTTGATGACGTTAGCATGCTCTGAATTCTCTCTTAACTGATCATCACTAATCCAACCTATCATTGTGAAATCAAGACTTGTCAGCAATATTCTTTCAACAAGGTGCATGTTTGCTTATTTGTCTTGAAAATACACTCAAGATATTTGATCCATACAAATGACCAAGTTCCTTTTTATGCTTCTATTCACATGGGACTGATAATTTGTTAGAAGCTTCATAATCAATATGATTCATTGGTTATTTGAAAACACATAATACAAATATCAAAAATTTCAAATGTTTGCATTTTTTGCAGTCTAATCTGATTCTGGCAAAATATATCTTTTGAGTCTCAAATAAACTATGCTGAATATAGAACAATTTAAACTTATAAATCATATTTTTGACACACTACTCAGATTTAGTGATTACAGATCATGTTGGACGGATAGATTACATGCAAGGTATCATATATAAAATACATATAGAGATATCATCTTGATATTTTGGAAACCAACCCAAACATTAATGACATAATAAAGAAGACATAACAACACACTATAGCATATGGTATCTAGTGAATTTATCGGCAATCGACAAGACTCCACTCATCGTGACGAGGGAAATGATTATCATCCATGAAGTTCGATCCATAGAGTTGCTGCTTATCAGATGCACGACGCATAACACTTTCAGGGTACGTTACCGGTCCCATCACGCCCCCGTTGTACGGCTACATTCGTCCCATCGCTTTCATCCGATGGCGCCTGGCCATCTCTATTTGTTATCCACTTGGCCCCCGTACCCCCTTTACGTTGCCACCCCCTTGTACGGGCGGGGGGAGATTTTTTATGTTATCTGCGTGAGATCCATTGCTTTCATCGACGAAAGGAAAGGAAAGGAAAGGAGTTACTGGTAATTGACGCCCGCCTGCACTCTCACGTCAGTCCAGAGGTCCGTGTGATCAGGAGAGATGGATGAGCAAACGAGAAGGCCATGTTTAAATTTGGCCGGTCCGGTCGCAATTTCCTTCGACTGACCTAGCGCATTCCGGACTTCCGATCGCAGTTGTGGTCGAGACGACCTGCGGAAGTCTGTCTGAGAGAGGCGACGTGTCGTGAATTCCGAACGAGATTCTTACACTGCCGAGCAGGGAATGCGAGTGAGCAGGATTCCGTTGCTGATGCGCAATTGACCCAATTCTGTCAATGCTGTGGTGCGTCTAATTCGTAGGTTTTTGGACAAGAGAGAGATAGAGAGGGAGGGAGGGAGGGAGGGAGAGTGTTGTGGAGGGTTTTGGGTGGGCTGGGCTGTGGGCAGGGAGGATGAAGTTTCGGTGAGGCCTTTGACTCTGGCAACAATCGGAGGATTGTGTGAATTCGGAAGCACTGGAGAATTGGTTGAATTCGGCGTGGACTTGGTTCCTGCCGAGAGTGGTTTGGGCACGCGAGTGAGGGGAGGAGATTCAGGGAATACGTAATTCCAATGTTCAGCTTGTCGTCGCACGCGCTCTGTGTGCGTGCTTCAACGGCGCAAGTTCCGGCCCAAATTCCAGCGCAGCATATCTTGAAGGCTGTTAAGATCGCGGATTCGTCTGCTGGTTTGACAGCCCCCCACCCCAATGCTGGTTGTGTCATAGCTCATGGCCCTCGTGTGGTCGGAGAGGGCTTTCTGTATGCACAGGGGACGAAGAGCGCAGAAGTTCAAGCCGTGGAAAGAGCCAGGGATTTATCGAAAGGAGCCACTGCATACTTGAACTTGGAGCCTGGAGATTGCCATGGAGACGACAGCGCTTTGAAAGCTCTTACACAAGTATGTTAGAACTACTGCATATGGATGAAGAGGACAGTGTTGACAGGAAGCAGGAAGTTTCTGAACGAATTTGAACGAAAGGTTGCTGTAAGAAGTCTACTGTACTTGAATTCCGGCACTAACACCGCCCTTCATGGATTTTCTCCAGGCAAATTTGTCGAAAGTAATTATTGGTCTTCGTCATCCGCTTACTCATTTGCGAGGAAAAGCGATAGAAGCTCTAAGAGCCGAGGGTATAACTGTGGAGGTTCTGGGCGAGGACTTGATAGAAGGTGAACAACTCCAGGTGAAGCTTCACTTTTTGAGTTTTAAAAGGTTCATCATTGATAATAGCAGTCAAATGTCCTGCGTAAGAAACAATTGCAGCACCAAATGAAATCTCGATATTTAGGTAGCAGATGATATGCAGTGGTGAGTGATAGTCAAATTGTCGTAGATAAATTTCTATCATTCGTAGAAATTAATTTACAACGAAAATACATTAAACCGGAGACCTTCAGCCACTCTGGACTCTGTTTACACGATATCTTTGGACACAAGACTTACCAAATTGTGAAGTCTTTCACTGTCTTCAAGATCAAACTTTCGTTTGTAAGCTGCTGGAGTGACTGTATAATAATTGTGAAAGATATACCTCATGTAACCTTTCGCTGTTTTCTCAGTCATCAACCACTTACTTAAAGTATTTACCGTACTCACATATCTGCAGGAAGTTACCAGGGCTTGTCAGTTGATAAATGCGCCACTACTATGTAGAGCTGTCCAACGTTTGCCATATTCTGTCCTCAAGTATGCAATGACACTAGATGGTGAGTTTTCTCTTCCACGAATGTTTTCCTTCTGGTTGTTGGAGTTGAGTTGCTTAAATGTTTATTGATGTTTTAGTGCAGTACTGCACATATTGTTATCTCCTTGTAATAATGCTGCCAGATCTTGTCACGCAAGTTCATTCTTCTGAAGCCCAAAACATTTGATCTCAAGTGGGCTTGTGATGGTTCATGTGCTCAGGAAAAATCGCAGCAAATACCGGACATGCTGCTTGGGTATCAAGCTCGGAGTCCCGTCGACGTGTGTTTGCCACTAGAGGCAGAAGTGATGCTGTTATCGTGGGAGGCAACACAGTACGCCGTGACAGTACGCACCTTCTTTCTCACACTGAACTCGTAGCACGTTTTAGTGTTTGCAGGCACTTCCCACTTTCGAGGCACCTTTGAGCGAAGTGCATCTAGATTGGGAGAAAAGCAAAGTTGTAGGTCAAAGTGCCTCCACAACTGCGTGGAGGCACCTTCTTCACATAGCACCTGTGTGGACAAACTAAATCACGAGCATTCAGTCGTAAGAAAATCCATATCCGTAGTCAAATCAACTGCGACTGAGTCATAGTTTTGTTTTTTTTCATTCCTCCTGCCCACAGAAGCCTTTAATTACTGGATACGTAGGGTTACTTTGAATTGTACTTCATAAACTGCGATCAGTCACATTTCAGCTGAAATCGGTAGGTTATGCTTATCTTAATGACAGATCCACGGCTAACTACACGTCAAGATGGGGGCCATCTTCCAGTTCGCATCGTCATGTCAAGATGCATGACTCTACCACCGGATGCGAATCTCTGGAATGTTGCCAATGCACCAACAATTGTGATGACTCAACGAGGGGCTCGGCGGGAATTTCAAGCTCAGTTGGTTGCCAGAGGTGTGGAAGTTGTTGAATTTGATTTTCTTACTCCCAAAGCAGTAATGGATTATTGCTTCGATCGGGGATTTTTGTCTGTGATGTGGGAATGTGGAGGAACACTATCTGCGCCTGCTATTGCGTCAGGGGTCATTCACAAGGCAAGTGAAAGGACGAAGGCTCTTCTGTTTAATAACATAGGCTTTCCTTGGTAGTACTGGATCCCAAAGGTTGTTTGAAAAGCTTTTGCATGGCTGTTTGTCTACATTAGCGCACGCGATTTGCGTAGCGGGCTACATATATAGTCCAATCATCCGTTGATCTATCACGCTTTGAGCTCATGACGCACATATCACAAATCTAACATGCGACTCTACGGAAAACCTTCTGAACTTTTGTAGGTCATAGCGTTCGTAGCCCCGAAGATTATAGGAGGCGTGTTGGCTCCATCACCAGTCGGGGAGCTGGGGATGGTAGAAATGACTCAGGCTCTGAATTTGTCCGATGTCGCCTTTGAGCAGGTATGATTTGGTCTGGTTCCAGAGTTTGGGAATGGACGAATTGATGTCAGATATAAAGACAAATTTTAAGCAACCTTTGGCGGATCCCTCCGTCACGCATCTTGCCGATATCAGTAGGAGTTTCGCTCATGCGAAAACACTAGTGAAGTGGATCTTGCTGGGGTTGAGAGATATGGCACGATAAAGAAACATGAGCTTGTATCTCACTAAGTGTTTTCTGCAGACTGGCCCAGACATGTTGATCACTGGATATCTACAGCCCGTTCCCGCTTTGTATCCCTCTGTATCAGCGGCAGTTGAGCTGGCACTTGCAGATTATCTTACTCCTTCTACCAAACCTCCAGCAGTTATCACATTCTACAAAACCTGGGACCTATATGGTGCCTTCTCCAACTTCTCTCCTCATCCAATTACGGTGCCAGATGAAGACGGCAACGACGTTGTCTGGAACAGTGTTGAGCATTATTATCAGGTAATATTTATGCTTTTTGTCGCACTTATTCCTTCACTTGCGATTGTTGAACAGTTAGGACTTAGGATAGCTGAGTGAAGTACCGGAAGTTTTAGCAGCAGTCTGTTTCCAATTAATTCCCGTTAGTAAATCGTTGAAGTTTTCTCCATCTTCGTGCAGGGTCAAAAATTTAGAGGAGTACAAGATTCCTTGGCTATAGAGCGCGTTCTGAAGATTCAAGTAGCAGCAAGTCCGGAAGAGGCAGCTCGACTTGGACGCTCATTCGGCAGAGAACGACCAGATTTGGTAGGTTGCACTTCGGAAGTTTCTTGATCTCTATGGAGGTTTTTTGGTTCCAAGTATGATGTTTTTTGAATGTCTTTGCTAGAAGAGATGTGGACTGTGCTACCAGTTTATTGATACGTAGTCATTGCTGCTCACTTGAGATATCTTTGTACTGAGTCTAGTCTTATGTGTGTTTCAGCTGTGTCCTGATTGGGATGAAAAGAAGTTGGACGTCATGTACAAAGCCCTTCGCCTGAAGTTTACTAGCTATGAAGCTCTAAAAGAATTGCTACTATCCACGGCAGGATCAGTCATAGTAGAGGCCTCCCCGAATGATCTCTTTTGGGGAGCCGGTAGGACAGGAGCTGGACAGAACAATCTTGGTATTCTCTTGATGAAACTTAGAACCGAACTTATAAAAGAGTCAGAAGGAAACCAGAGTGTTAAGCGGCAAGCAGATTCTGCTGCAGTAACTGCTTAAACTTTTATGAGAAAGTTAAGTGGGACTCAAGAACCCCACCCAATTTTATCCTGCTATAGCTCGAGTCATCGAGTCATCGAGTCATTTAGAGAGGAGCTTCAAATCAAGCACGGCACATTTGTTATTAGATTATATATATGCATGTTTGCAAAGTTCAGACATACTGATCCTTACACCCGATTATGAAGTTTACTGTACAAGTGCTGCCGTAGTGTATCTGCCATCAATTTCCCATTCTTCTGGTCGGCGTTACGACTTCTGGGCCTCCCGGTGCCAATGGAGGTTGGGGAATCACATCAGTGGTGTAGTCCCAGTCCAGCTTCAGCAGTTTGTCACGAGTACTACGTCCCGTGAGGTTGCATAAGTTATGTCTGGAACAGCCGGAACCGAAGAGACATTCAAGTTGGATTAGCTGGGCTGGTTTTGTTGGACCAATCATGCGCCAGCTGTGCTGGCCTTTTATTTCTTAAGCAGCGCTACATTCAATGAATTGGCTGGTCCAGGCTTTCAGATGTAGCGTCATCAGCCTGTTATGAAAGTTAATCAAAAGCAGTTGTTTTTATGTCCTCCAGTAACTTGTGGGGTCCCTTGAGCGGTGGAAACCCAAGGTGGAAAACTAGTCACGAGATTCATGTTGTATCATTTTCTTGGTTTTGTCCTTGGCAATATGAAGTCATGTAGAACTCACGTTTGATATCGGCCCTACTATCCAGCTCCTTGAACGTCCTTATTTTCCGTTGGTGATGTCACGGTGAGCATCTAACTTCCGCATGGTGCCTCACAAATCGTCTGTGGACAGACTCAGTGATGCGGTTTGTGCGACAGACGCTGTTAGTGTCTACCCATCATATCAAGGAAACCCTCATATCGCATTAGTATAATGCACAATTTCGGTTTGGCTCCTGTTGCTCGGATGGTAAACAGCATGAAGAGTGGGACGCATGTTCCAATATCATCTTGGACTTCTGCTATGCGCTACTTTTCTGTCATATGGTTCGAATCAAAGTCGGAACTACTGACTAAAGAGGAAGCACTGACTTGACTGCATATCTGCAGATATCGTACATGGATGATAGAGTACACCGCTAAATATGTTCTGTCTCATTGAGACCTTGTTTGTAACTGAGTTCTCATGTATATTGTTATATCCGTCTGTAAGCAAAGAAAAGTCTGTGATGCTGACATGCTGGCGCATGAGAGTAGGTGTACGACTCTTTCGTGCTATAGTTGAATATCTCCATCTGCACCTGCGCGAAAGTTAAGGATTATAGCGTGTTGTATTTTACAATTCTTGATGTCGACTACAGTTTGAGAGCTAAATTGCAAATCTCCATAGAAGCTCGGTGGAACTTCAAAGATGACCTTCTCGACACCTTGACAAGAACTTGCAAAGCCTAGGGCATAATAAAGCGTGAAGGTAAGTAACGTAGAAATAGAGAAGTTCACAAACAAGGACATAATGCAGAATGACAATGAATGAAGCAATGTGAAACCCAACCACCACAGCCAGACACCAATGCATTCCTCGGTTCACTGGACCCGAAGCTGTTGCCCATGAAATTGGTCAACCATGTGATACGACATCGGGAAAGAAAGCTGCAGTGGGTTTAAACTCGTCGTCGTGAGTATTTCAGAGGAGTTCTTTTCACAGCACGCTGTGACAGAGAACACCCTGTGAATTCTTTATACATGTCAAAAAAGATGTACCTCCTTTTACCTGTTTGCAGGATGGATCCTCACAATACATGAGGGAAGCATCGCTTTCCTCTGATGACAGCACATCGGTAAAGCTCAGTAATTACAACTCGGTAGGAGAATGATGAATTTCAACTTCGTGTAGGTACTTGTACTGGGGGACAAAGAGTCTCGAAGTTGATGATATTTACAACTAACCAATAGCAGAATGGACGGCTGACTATCGACAATCGACACTCTCCGGGGCTACAGACACTAACGGCTTATTCTAATCGGCGGACAAATGCCAACCTTACGTCGAAACCACAACTCCAACGACATCCCAAGGACCAAATGTCACCTCCCGTGAGACAACCCTTCGATCGGCCAGTGGCAGACCAATTCTCCTCGAGATCAATTCCCTCACACTCCTCACACAGAACAACGAAGTCCTAATCCACATAGATGGTGCAGAGCCTCACTCACTGTCTTCGTCTGCAGTGAGCTGCAGAGAGCGACCCACCTGTGGAATGCAGGGTCTACATTTAAGAAGTGGAAAAGCAACATGCAGCCAGCGGCCTGCCAGGGATGATGGATGATACACTCGAGGTTACGAGCAGCAGCAGCGGCTGTTAGAAGATCTTCTTATGAACAAGGATGAAGTCCAGCATTTAGCTCGACAACATCGAGTTGATGTGTTCCATCGGTCAGTCAGCTCGTGCTCTTCGACCTCTACCTTCATCACACACTCTAATGTTTCTCCTTCTTCATCAGTCCGACATTAGTTCGCTCAATTGAATCGGTACGAAATGGTCAGGGGGTCAGAAACCGCACGCACTGCACTGCTTGGGATGATGCCGGATTCGAGTCGAGTCAAGGGTCAGCATGAGCCATCTCCGCGTGGTGGTGGTCGTCATCGCTGGACATGTCCTGGTCGCTGAGCTCGTCGTCGCTGCTTGCGTTGTCAGGGCGAATGCCCACGTCCTCGGGGCGGGCGTATTTCTGACAGTGCTCCTTCACTTTCTGCTCGTACTTGTCGCGGTCCTTGTTCATGAGCAGGGCGGCCTCGCCGTTCAGAGGGTGGCCGGGGTTCGGGTACAGCAGCAGCTGCGGCAGGAACACCTCGAACACATTGATCAGAGCGAACATCGGGCTCCAGGTCTGGTCGATCACGTCCAGGCACACGGAGCCCGACATCTCGTCGATGTTAGGGTGGAAGATTCGGTTGGCGAAGTTGATCACGGGCGCCTTGTAAGGATAGCTCTCCTGCAGCTCGACGTGCACCTTCCACACCCCTTCCTGGTACGGGCTGTCCTTGGGCCCGTGAAACTCCACATGAAACTCGCTCATTCCATCGTTCACTAGCTCCACTTTGTAATCGCTCATCATCAGCTTCATCACGTCCATATCTCGCCTCTTGCTCGGCGACGACATGATTCCTGCCTCCTTCCTCTTCCTCTTCCTCACAAATCTCGAAAGGTCGACAGAGCTCAGCTCTGCTCTGCTCTGCTCTTTGAAGGTCTCCCTCCGTGCTTCACGAGAATTGCAGCCACACAGCCTGCGCTTGCATCTGCGCCTCGAGGTCCAATTTCACCACCACCGACCCTGACGGGGCATCCATCTCACCCTCACCCTCAACCTCGACCTCGACCTCGACCTCAGCAGCTGCTGCCCGCTCACGCAAAGATGCACTCGCTGCCTCGGGATGAAATTCGTGCCAGCTGCACGTCCCTCGGATTCTCTCGGAGCCCGACGTCGCATCTCGTCTTCACCATTCGAGGATCGCCCGCTGCCCCGCCCCGCCCCGGCAGCAGCACCGAATGCACCACACCGCCTCCTCGAGCTGCTGCTGCTGCTAGTTCTCGAACTCGGACGGCATCGATGGACTTGCTTTCTTCCCTGCCGCCTCGAGACTGCAAGCACCCGGAGATCGGATTGGAAAACCGCGCTCTCGTTCCATCGCCACTACTTATAGCCAGGGAAACCTACAATCCTCTTCGCTGCTCTTCATCGAAAGGCAATCACGTCCTGAAGGCAATCCGGGAGAGAATATTTCGAGCATAAGCAGCTTATCTCGTGCGGTGGAGACCAATCAGGCCGGGACTACGTCACAATGACCGAGGGCTACAATTACAAATGCCTGCCTCGGATAAAAATACTCGTTTTCTATTCGAGTTGACGATCGTTCAAAGCCCGGGATTGCCTGCTGGTGGACCCGAGCGCAAGGCGGCCATGAGCCACCCCAGATATGAGCTCGCTAGTGGGGCACTGCGTCCAGGGTCGTCTGAGACCGAGAGATCAGGCGATGAAAAGCCCCTCGGGTGAATCGACGCCACTGGTTTTGTTCTCGAGCTCCAATCGCAGCCTGCCACTGGAAAAGGTGGAGTTTGTTACGATTCAGCGCTGCAATTGGCCTCTCGCCCAGACATGCACACTTGTTGGACTGTTGTGCCATGGAGCCCATGGACGCAGAGACTCGGTGGCTGGCTGGCTGACTGACTGGCACGGCGGCTGCAAGGTGGCATGCTCATCGGTGATTCAGGGCCTCCTCGGTGGCTCCACGAAATTCAGCCCGTCTCTAATATGGTTCAATACAGTTTGGATGCAGAGGGAGTGAGGATTTTGTTCCGCTGCTTGGCCTTTGCTGCAAGCTTCGGTCTCTGCTCAGACTCTGCGCTGCTGCAATTTCGGCCGCGAGGATCGCGCTGCTCCGCCTGGTCGAGAACTGGTCGTGGTCTGGAACCCGTGGAAGACACGGAGCAGCTGCATTTCGAGTGGGGACATTTCGAGTGTTGGGTCTTCGTGAGCCATGAGTCAACTGGAGCAGGAGCTGGCCTGCGAAATGCATCTGATTGTGCCTCCGGATCAGGTGTGGCGGGCATTCAAGGACTTGCATAACCTTCTGCCTCGGATTCTGCCCGGATTCATCGACAGCGCGAGCCTGCTGGAAGGCGACGGAGGTGTGGGCAGCATTCGCGAGATCAAGTTCGGTCTTGGTGTGTAGACTTTCTCTCTTTCTCCATCATCCTCATCTTCTTCTTTAACATTTAAAGCAAATCGCCGGTCTAGGAGTTCAAACGATCGATCGATGCTCATTGAAAGCTCCAATTTCTTTAATTTCACTGCATTATTGAAAGTCCAATTTTGACATCGACCCCATACACGGACATGGAAATCACATTTCTGCCCGGTATCACATGTATTCTCATTCTTTGAGTCTCTACTGCACTACGTCAAATTCGGGACCATCAATGCATGCATCCATTTCTCCATCTCACGACGTTCCCATCTTAAAAGCCTCTTCCATCAGTTTCCCGTTCGAAGACTGACAGTCGATGTGAAAATGTCCGAAGTGCTGAAGGACAGGGGATTCCACCTGCCATAGTCAAAGCTCTGCCTCAGCTCAGAACACCGTTGCACACCTGTACTCTAAAACTCTCAAGACCATCTTTCTCATCATGATTCCAGAATGTGTTTAGATTCGGTGGGTGGTGAAGTTGGAGTCTTGTAGTCGTACCGAAGAGTGAAGCGCCTGATGAATCTGAGTCATCAGATCATGGCGAACTGCGGCTGTTTCTGGTGACGAATCTGATTTCCTCCAAACTAAACAGGATTAAACTCTGACGAAAGAAGAATCAGATCAGATGAATCAGATGAATTGGTCTGTATGTTGCTTAGTGAGCTTAAGTTTTAGCTTTTGATCAAGGAAATGGAAGGTGTCAGAGTTAATGCTGGCGGTAGTAGTCGAAGGTACACCTCGTTGCCAATGATAGACTGTTGCTGCGTGGGCCCTGGCTTCTGGGGCGACATTTATCACCCGTGACAGTCACCGGATCTTGTGATGTCGATGAAGAATGACGTTGCTGATACTGATGGACTGACGGCAACGGCAACATGGGACCTCGCTTGTGCCAACGCAGTCGTTCCAGGGCAATCGTACAGCAAGGAGAGAATTGACGTTCTGGATAATGAGCAGCGCATCTGCAGCTGCAGTATGCTGTCAGGCGAAATGATGGAGAACTTCAGCTCGTACAGAACGACATGGCAGTTCAATCCAGCGACAGGTGGCCAGGGAACCGATGTCAAGTGGAAGATCGAGTATGTTCCGGTCGGCGAACATGGAAGCTTGGATAAGTTCAAGGACTCGGCTCTTCTGATGGTCAAGCAGATCGAGGGCCACTTGATCGCCACGGCTGAGTACACTCCCCCCTCGCAGCAACAGAAACTACGAGCAGCTCTCCTCAGCTGATCTTGAAACAACTTCCCAAATGTGTGCAGTTCTGATCCAGCTCCGAGAACGCACGAGATTGAATGAGGTTCTCAGTTGGTCATTCTGACATTGTCTCATTTCAGATTTCTCATTCATGTACAGGCATTGCTTTTGTAATGAGCTCAGCAACAGATCCAACCATTCTCAAGGTTTTAGATTCGAGACTGGTAGCTTTGTATTGTAGATATCACTTGAAGGTCGTCAAGTTGATGGCAGATCCGTACTCAAGACTAATTGTGGTAGCATGAATGTATTTTACTTGTATATAGATTTTGCACACGGTCATCGATGACGTGATAGCCACTGCCAAGTCGAAGGAGTTGAAGAAGAGAGTTTATTTTTCTACAAAATTCTTTCCACATCTTTGTGACTTCTGATCTATGTTTATTTTTTGGAGTCAATACAAAGACCATATTAATGACGTGAAACTTGAGTAACTGAGTGATCATTGTTCTCTCCCAATTTTTTCTTAATCTTGTAAAGCAATTTGGCAGACAAAGCGTCGATAAATTATACACACAATAGTTTCTCACGTCTTCTTACAGGAGATCAGAACCTCCTACGTCCATGGTTTGATTTGCAGGTTTGAAACCACAATATCGGTAGTAGCTCAGCTGGCATGACCCTACTCTGGTACTTGGTAGACGGGTTCCCGCTAACCTAACCCAAGCTGCTGCTACTGCAACAGATACCTTGTAGAAGTTAATGCATGGTAACCTTCGCTAGGTAAAATACTTATGGAGCAAAGATCATATCTAATAGTACAAGGGTGACACAATTCGGAATACATGCGTCTTGGTCTCAATAGTACCACCATGGTAATTAACTCCCTCATGTTCAGACATATTTACGAATTTTAAAGTTGTACTTTACTAAAATTGGAACGTAACAAAATCATAAAAACATGACATTGGTATTACCTGAATTATGTTAACAAGTTATAAGTAATTGTTCTACTATAAGTAGAACAATTCGAACTTAATGTTAATGATATCATTAACAATAAGTTTGATAGAAATATGAGCAATTTTCCACAAAAATGTTACATAGCACTTTACATTTTCAATCGGTAATAAACGAAATGTTCTATCTTCATACATCTATATTTGAAAAATCAGTAATACTATTCCAACATTAGAATGACAAAAAATTACATCAAATTTTGATTTTCCAAATATTTTTCAAGGAAATCTGCTATGATAAAGTTTCATGCTATAACTATGAATCAAGAAGTTAAAATGCTAAGCAACTCAGCTCAACCTTATCAATATCAATACTAGTATGCAAGGCGAATACTATCCTATTTCAATAGTTGTGTGACAATTTATGAAGTATATATTGATATTTTGATACTCATTTAAATTGGATAATCTCAAAAAAACCGAACATTGCTTCTTTATAAAATTGAAAATAATCTACATACATCATTAACAGACTAATGTAGCTGAATTGAGCATAATTCTTTTTCCTTATATTACTATGAGCTATCTAAACATAAAATCTCTTTTTTCATATATTTATCTATAATATGCATAACATGGCTAATTGACTGATGAAATATTTCCAAGTTACATACTTGATAGAAAAGTCATATTTCTCAATGCTTGAGTTGCTTGCACTTCTTTTATAATGCTAGTTTCAACACTATCATGGTCAAAAGACGTTATACATAGGTCATGTATACCACATTGAGTATGCATTTTAAGACTTGAATACCAAAGTTTAAGCTTGATCAATAACATGTTTTAATTAGTGCATTAATATGATTTTTGGCCTCAAGAGTTATGATTATCATGAATATACAGCTTTTGTAAGCAAAAGTGCTACTGGAGTTCAAGTTTTACACCGCATATAGATATTGCACTTTATTACAATGTATTGCACATAAATTTCGTTTGATTGTTAAGATGACTTGAAATAAAGAATTGCTGGTCGGTGCATTTCAGTTGTTTGAAAGACTTTATCTTCAACTGCATTATATTATGCTTGACTAACTTTAATAAGAAGAGTATGGATGTTTTTGGTTTTGTAACTTTATCAGATCCAGCTCTTTGAATGTTTAATATCATATTGGACATTGACTTATAAATTGTGAATAATAAATTAGTCAATAAAGAAAACTAAATTTTAACACATTGTTGAAAAGTTTAAATTTTTTTGTAATTCTTTTATCTTCTTCATTTGCAATTGCAAATAATGTTAGTCTTGACGTAAACAAAGAATGTGGATTCTAAACACTTACATTTACGACTACTACACAGATCATGAGAGAAATATCAGTCTTAATGTATAATATGAACAAACAAAATTGAACTAAGTTTTTAATTTATCTTAATGTATCAATCATATGAAAAGTTTTAGCATGAGTTTTTCGTTGCACATGCAAATAATATATCACATGTTTATCATGTTGTTCTCCATAACTATGCTAATACACCTAGTTTTGTGTTTTTCTTATCCTATCATACATTAGAATCTATAAAGCATACATTTATTTTTAACTAGCAAAAAGTTACACCACAGGCTTTATATTTTTTAGTATTGTGCAACTAGACTATCATTCAAAAAGAAGGGGCTGCTAGTTATCTCTCACATGACGCTAATTAGCCCTCGCCTATACGGACATCACTCATTGGTTCACTCGGGTTATAGAATCCGTGCGGTGAAAAGAAAATTGTTGATCGATTTCAAGCTGCACTCAAACATGCCGCTGTATTAGTTAAGGTAAATGAAGTGGTTGGGGTCCCTTCAAATGTCATATGTTTATGGCCGGACAAAAATCGCAGCGGCACTTAACATCTAACCTATCACTCTACATCATTCATACCATTGAGTTTTGCCATCCGAGATTGTAAAATTACTCCATGTAGCTTCCTTCTTGCGGGTGATAACTTTGTTCAACTTTGTGTTGCTTTCGATGAAGCTATTGGTTGAATCGATCAAGATGCTGGTTTCATAAAGTTGACTGACTTATATTCAAAGATCAGCTATTGTTCGAGTCTCAGGCTGGGCACACTTTGGAGGTGCGCTTTGTGTCCAATGAACTTGAGAGTAGATTTGGTTTACTGGAGCATGTCAATGTAGGGCCTGTGAAACTCTATAATGCTAGCACAAAAATGCTCTAGATTTTGGGATAAGAAATGGTCGATCAGAAAGACTTTAAACTCGCGAAGTTTTTTTTTTCCACCTCTGAACCATATAGAGTGAGCTAATGAGTGACTTCCCTATAGTAAGGTGAGCGCTAATTAGCCCCGGTGAGGAATCAACTAGCCGCCCCAAAAAACAAACATGTATTTATATGATTTGTCTTACATTTAAAAGTACATTTTACAAATAAATACAATATAAAATATTTTGGATGTGATATTTGATATATCAATAAAAATATGACTTTATACACAAGTAGATAGTTAGTATTCATTTTTCTGAACAATATCAATCTATTATATATTCAACATTTTTGCATTATTGTTGCATACAGATTAATTTCATATACATAATAATAGTGATATGTGTATATTTGAATAAATTTTCTAATCTTCTTCAATGCCACACAAATGAAGCAAAAGTAATCAAAAAAAAATTTCAAATGAAATTTGAAATGATTTGCAAAAATCAATTTTACCTTGATATTATAAATGATTTTTTACATGTATAATTAAGAATATATTTACTAAATTTTTTTTATATAAATTGAAATAAAAAATTGCGTTTGATTTTTGAATCTATTTGCATAAACTTCTTTATTTTAATAAACATATCATTTTATATAAATATTGATATTGCTTCACAAATAATTTCAAGTGACAATTACATCATGTGTCGGCGAGTAAAAAAAAAAAATATAAAAAAATATAAATGTGTCTGATAGATTTTGCATTTTCCATAAATCATGCAATAAATTTTATTTTTTTCTTTTTAAAATTTTTGTTTTGTAAACATTGTTAACTTTATCAATTTAATGTTACATATATTTATTATAGAAGTCTAGTAAAAATTTATTTCTAAATATATAGAATTGTTTGAATGATTGAAATCTTATATCCTAGTGCTTTGTTTTATATTTTGTATATTTTTTTAAATATTTGTAAAAAAATGAAATTTTTTGTTTAATAAAACTATTGTATATATTATTTTGGAATGATGAAATAAAAAGTATAAATAAATCAATAAAAAAATATTGGTGAATTTTTTTTATGCAGCTGTATCCCTAAGACTGTATGTGAAAGTTTATCTTCATTAAGCAATATTGTATTCTAAGAACTCCCTCACACGCCTATAGTGAGAAGGACGCAGGGGGTTCACATTCATTTAGTATATCCCAAGCTTCCAATCATTATAATTTTTTGTTATAAACAAGAATTTTGTGAAGCTTACTGTAGTATTACGTATTTTTTCCTCACAGAAAAGAAATATTATATAGTAGGCAGAAATGTGCATCTTAATAAATTTTGAAATACAGAGTTATGTTCATATTATTTGCAATTTGGATTAACTATACAATAAGAATTTAAGTTATACTATAACTATAATATAAGAATCATTAACTAAGAATCAATTAGAACTATAAGAATTAATTTTGAGAATTGGATATTTCTCAGATTTAGCATATAATTTTGTAAGACATTAAACCATTTTTATATATAATTTTATATCTTTTTTATAGAAAAGGATATAAATAAAATAAAACTATAAAATCATGCAAGTGACTTGATGTTTTAGTGGAAAAAAAATCAAGTGAATTTCATCTAGATAGGATTATGAGTCGGTATGTAAGACATGGATTAAACCTGAAATATAACATTATATAAATTTTTATTGAAGAATCATAAGTAAATATAGTTTTTAAATGTTAATATTTATCACTATTGCTACACTATTCCTCTTTACATAAGATATTCAAAAACTGAATAACCATCATAGTCATCAGAATCACTTCATCATCCATGTTAACACTCTAGTTTAAAAACATTACAAGAGCTGATGAGAGAAATTCTAAGAAATACAATTGAGATAGCACATCTAAAAATGTTTTCAAATTTAGCTGGAATAGAGGTGGCCTGGTTGATAAATTTCTACTTGACCACTGCAACAGTGGTCAAGTAGAGATCGTCAAATGATGTTTTGTTATGTTATGTCATTTGTGCGTTGATGCTTCTATGCATTCTTCGGATGTTTATAAACCGTTGAACTTTATAAGTTGGAAATTGTAAAATTATATGACATATTTTACATTCTGCTACTTTGACACCTAGAACCTCTTTACTTTCATCCTTGTCTGGCCGCCTTGATGAGGCTTACCATCCTTTTTAAGCTATATACTTGGACCCCCTGAAACGAGATTTTATGTCATACAGATGTCATGTACAGTGTGCGTCCATTTCATACAGGAGGTTTTCATAAGTCACCACGAAATGATTCAGATGGTACAACTTGTAAATGAAGAAACATGTCCATCCTATAAAACATAGGTTTAATTCAAGACATATATATCATTATGCTCAATGGAAAGAATATTTTGCAAAATACATCAAACAGGCGATTAGTCATGATAGTAAGAGTGCACACAAAAATCTGGAGAAAAACATTTTGATTTGTGCTATCACACATGACATCATGGGTGTTCCCACATCTCAAACTTCTGGTCGGCCATGGCGACGTCCACATGATAGAAACAGGGTCCACGATCAAAACACAAACCGCCAAGCTCCTGCAGAAATGCTGGTGATAGGTATCGTCCTGCCCGGCCATTGATCTCCAAACGACAGACTCAGAATTCATCTTTTTCTGACCTCAGGCACGAGTTTGCTCTCAGCCTCGTACCTCAAATTCTCGGAGTACTGAACCGAGAGGGAAGATAATTATAGCTTAATTTTCCCCGAAACCAGGGAAATCACATGACCGAGTAGAAATTAAGGTCTAACCGATCCATGACTCCTCGGAGTTTCGGTTACCAGTTAGGAGCTTAAAAGCTCCCTACAACTTCGAAACACGTCAAAATTGTCAGGCTCTTAATTTGCAACCTTCAACTCCGTGAGAAGGTCATAGTTCGGTGCCGTCCAAAATAGAAAAAAAACTACCAATACCAGAAGAGGATCTAGAATGTCACTTCCCAAAGCATACAAGACAAATTAGCAAGTCAAACCCTTCGAGAAATTCCTGGATATGCACGACGGACGGTCACCGTCGAACCTCCCGATTTATTCGAATCAGATTTGGGCTCCGAAGGGACAGCTCGCTCCATAACAGAACTGGCCATGCAGCCAACCCGTACGTACTATCCCTTCATATTGCCATGACATGCCGCTCGTACACGTAAGAAATGTACGAGAACTTCCGTCTCAGATTCTGCAACACATTTCTTTCACCGATACGAGATCGATCCAGTGGCCACGGATCTCCTATCGGTGAAATGTGTTGGAAAATCTTCTGCTGGCATCGGATCTCGAGCAGGAGACAGCGAGAGTCCTGCAATGGCTGAGGGAAATATTACGGGGGGTGTTTAAGGCCGCCAGACAGCAATGGAAGGGATCATTAGCGGGCATTAAAGGCCGGCTATCGGGTCCGCTTAGGGTTTACGGATCCGTACGTACGCCGGTCGTTCGTCCGACCCGGCGCGATACAGTGCGCAGTCATCTCCAGGCGCGGTGCCATGTCATACCATGAGAGCGTGAGGTTTGACGTGGCGCGCCGAGATCGCTTACACTTGTCGCGAAGGGCAAGCGGCGGTCGTGGTGGGGGGCGTCGAGGGCGATCGAGTCAGCATCCGCCAAGTTGTTGGACGATGTCGTCCGGCTTGTTGCGATCGAAGAGTCGAGCAATCTCGTTGCATCGAGGATTTGAGAAGGGCTATGGAATTGACTAAATTTAAGCGCAGCGGGAGTTCAGGGGCCATTGGCTGATCCTCATGAGCGGAGACCAATCGGCGAGGAGGAATCGCTCATGCCATGAAGCTGGGGAGGCAAATTGATCAGACTGGAGAGCGAATGATGGGCAAGAGGGGCGACGATTGATTGACTGATAGTACGAGCTCGCAGGAGGCGACGACGGTACCTGCTCAGGTGCTTTTTTTGAAGCTTGGATTGCGGGCTGCTCCTAGATGGGCGGTGGTAGTGGTTGGGAAGAGTTCGGAAGCAGCAGGTGTAGCGAGTGGATGAATTCTGCAGTTGCAGTTGCGTGGTATGGCTGGGAAGGGCTCGATCTCGAACAGGTGGAGGCCGGATCGGTATAATAAGTTAGCGCGAGTCTCTTCCGTGTCCGCATTCTGTCGGCTCGTAGTGAGTAAAATCTCGGAGCTGCGAGGCATTGCCACTTCTCGAAATTCCTCTCTCTCTCTCTCTCGAACACTCAGAGCTAGCTGGAACGGGAAGACAGCGCTGAGGCAGCCAGAGAGGCCACATCTGCTCCACGCCTCGGACTGATGGTTGGGGTGACGGAGCGTGCGAGCGAAGCCTTCGAGGAAATAGCAAGCCACTTCTCAAGACCGCTGCTCGATTCTCAGACACCGCACGATAAGGAGCGAGCCATTGGACTCAAGCTCAGAACAATGCTCGAGGGCAAGCCTCGCTCTCACTCTCACTCACCCACATTGGGAAGGAACAATCTGCCTTCATAGAAACGCACTCTCTATTTCTCTCACATCGCGTAGCAGGTCGAGGTCGAGGTCGAGGTCAGATCGAAGTCGTCCGACACGCCAACGACGAAGGACGAAGGTCGAAGGTAGAAAGGAGGCGGCCGCTCGCTTCGCTCCTGTACAGCTGAACTCGACGCCATCGTAATAATTCTCTCCGTTGCTCGCTCGTCATCGCGACAATCTGTAGGTGGGTCTCTCGCTCTGCCGCCTTTGCTCCGTCTGTACACAATAAGATCGAAGAGTTTCTCGGCACGCAGCTGCCATGCAGGTCTCGCTTCCTCCACGAGCTCGCTCGCTCGCGTGTGGCAATGCAAAGCATTGCTCGAGCGTTACAAACCTCGACCGTCCCTTTGTGCGGAAAACAAAATAATTACATGTTTCGGGCCCCCACGGAACCGCTGCACCAGATGGGCAAACATGCTGCCATCCGAGCCGGCCACGAGGAGCAGTCCGTGTGCATTTTCCAGGCCACTCGTGATTATACCCGTCGAGCTTTAGAGCTGTAGCGCAGATTCCTCACTCCTGATGCCCGCACGCCCCCACATTATCCTTCAATACGCAAGAAAACGACCCACATAGACCTTCCTCCTCCATCGCCGTCGACTCACTCGAAATCGGAATCGAATATTCAACGAAGCCGAGTCTGACATGATTCCCCCATCGGCCTTTTCTTAGAAGGAAATTCGAGCTCCGAGCTGAGGTAGAGCCACCCACTAGAGCAATTTAGCGGCGGCATTGGTCTAGCAGCAGCAGCAGCAGCAGCTGTTGGGATCGAGTCCTCGACGTTTGGCGGTTGATGTTTTGTTGGTACGCTTGTGATTAATGATGGACGTGGTTTCTGGTGCAGGTGGAAAAAGTTAGAGACGCGAGCAGAGGGCGCCAACTGCTGCTAGCGCAGAGGGAAGATTGGCGCTGCCGCTGTCGGGCGACGCGGGGGGACGCTAGACCTAATCGAAGGGCAGCAGGCAGGCAGGCAGGGCCGCCGTCTCGGGGCGAGTGCGAGCTGGAGCACGTGCGAAGCAGACTCGCCATCGCTCAGAGTTCCCTCCATGAACAAAATAAAAGCGTTCACGAGAATGCACAGTCACAATTACGAGCAGCTGCGCGGCCATCAGCCGCAGCCTGACGCTGCGAGCAGAAGCAACTGGGGACATGTCGGTGGTGGTGGCAACGACGATGGCGTAGTTGGACGAGGAGTCGATCGTCTGACGGGATCCCAGGAGCGGGTGCTCCTCGACCGCACGGAAGATTCCATCCTGGCACTGCGTTCCTCTCACTCCAGCCCGATCTCTTCTTCTGCTGCTGCTGCTGGTTCTGGTTCTGATCCTTCTGCCGCGACTGTCAGTCCCTCTCTCCAGAACGGGGGCCACAGTCTCAAAGCTCCACGAGGTCCTCTGCCCAGCAGCGCTGCGTTTCGTCGAACCTGCAGCAGCATCGCATCGTCTCCCGCAGTCCTTGCAGCTGCGACGAGCGCAGAGGAGGAGCGGCGAGGAGGAGGAGGAGGAGGAGGAGGAGAGGTTGAAAAGGGTTCGAGCTTAGTGCGGGAATCCAGTTACGACTTCTGGTCGGACGAGCTCGAGCCCGAGCCCGAGCGTGCGGGAGGCTGGAATAAGGTCGACGACGGGAGGATCGATGAGGAGAGATGCTCGAGCTCGTCGCATAGGAGAACGAAAAGCTTCGAGTTCGGTGGTGGCGGCGGTAGTTCGAACGAGGCGGACCCGCCGAGCAGATTGATTCGGGAGTTTTTGCAGAAGCAGAGCGCGACTGGGTCGACATTTTTGGACCTCGATATGGACATGGACGAGCTGACGGCGAAAGGTGCGAGGCCTGTCAGGCCCGGCGCCAATGGCAGCGGCAGCGGAAATGGGAATGGGAATGGCGTCGCCGCTTCTGCCCGACCCAACAGCAGCGTGCGAGCTTCGCCCCCCGGCCAGCTGAAGGAAACCCGAATGTCGCAAGCCGACCAAGACTCATTGTCCTCGTCCTCTTTCGATTCGCCATCGCCGACCTCCCGCCTCAGAGACCCTCTTGCCTCGGCGGGCGTCAGGAGGCCGGGAGAAGTGGTCGTCGACATGCCGCAGAATCACAGAACGAGCGATTTCAGCTCGTCCTCGGAGGAGGTCTCGCCGCTGCACGAAGCTGCTCCTCTGAGCGGCGTGGGCATCAGGTCGCGCAAAGCAATCCCGCAACCTCCAATCGCTCTCGATCGAAAGAACAGCTCCAATGGTGGTGGTGGTGGTGCAGGAGCAGGAGCAGGAGCAGGAGGGGAGGTGGACCCGACGGCTCGGTCGCCTCCCATGGCGTACAATAAACCTCCGGGGTTCAACAGGCTAAAATCGAGGCTGGTCGATGTTCCGAAGCCTCCCGAGATGAAAGCTGGAGATGGAAAGGACGAGGGCAGACGGTCGGGTGGCATGTCGGGAGCGTTGCGGTCTGGGCTTCTGGGGAAGCTGAAGAGGGTGGACGAGGAGGACGACGATCCTCTCAAGGACGCAGATTTGCCCGAGAAATATCGAACTCGGGATAAAGGGTTTTGGACCATCGCGCAGTGGGTCTCATTCTTGCTCATTCTCGGCGGATTGGCGACGATTTTGGCGTTCAGGAATCTGCGGGAAATGAAGCGCGGTGGGTTGATGCTCTGGAAATGGGCGCTGCTCGTCATGGTGGTCTTCAGCGGGAGGCTCGTGTCGGGCTGGATCATCTGGTTCTTCGTGATCATCATCGAGCGCAACTTTCTGCTCCGCAAGAGGGTTTTGTATTTCGTCTACGCCCTGCGCAAGGGCGTGCAGAACTGTCTGTGGCTGGGGTTCGCGCTGCTGGCCTGGCATTTGATGATCGACCCCAAGGTCGACAAGGACATTGCCGTCGTGAAGTACGTGACGAAAATCTTGCAGTGCTTCCTCATCGGAGCTCTGATCATTCTCGTCAAGACTCTGATCGTCAAGGTCTTCGCTTCCTCGTTTCACGTGAGCAACTTCTTCGAGCGCATTCAGGAAGCTCTCTTCAATCAGTACATCATGGAAACGCTGTCGGGTCCCCCGATGCTGGAGATTGAACAGAACCACGAAGAGGAGATGAAATTCAACGAGGAGATTGCGATTCTGAAGGAGGCCGGTGCCACCGGGCCCAACCTTCCGAAGATGAACGACTTGCCTCCTCTTCCTCCGAGACGGAGTGGAATCATCGGAGCCAGCCAGATGTTGAACAAAAGCGGGGGCGTGCCCGGAGGCACTAAGAGCGGCATGATAGGGAAGATTGGCAAGCCCGGAGAGAAGAAGTCTCAGAAGCTCGAGGAAGAAGGAATCAGCGTCGAGCACTTGACCAAGCTCGACCAGCGCAATGTGTCGGCGTGGAACATGAAGCGACTGGTGAATATCATTCGCCATTCCAGCCTCACTCACTCCATCGAAGAAACTGCGTATGCCGATGCAGGAGTGGAGACCGAGATTCAAAGCGAGTGGCAGGCCAAGAAGGCTGCCAAGCAGATTTTCAAAAACGTCGCCCGGAAAGGTGCCAAGTAAGTATTAGTCTCATGGCATTTTCGATTTTCCTCGGCTATTTCAACTTTTGACTCGATGGAGCTGCGGCAATGTTTCTGGAGAAGCGATGTCCTGATTCGTGCTGTCTCTCAGGGTTATCTCGGAGGACGATTTGTTACGGTTCATGCGGGAGGAGGAGGCGACTAAAGCTCTGCACTCGTTCGAAGGGGGATTCGAAACCAAGAAGATCACCAAGCAAGCGCTGAAGAATTGGGTGGTAAGTCTCTCGACCACGAGCACGGCATTGGCCTGCGCTTCCTTCAGTTTCAGCCAGGGCAGTGCAACGAGCAGGCCGTGCAACCATTAAGACTTTTGTGCATGGGTTGGCGAGGTTGTGGAACTGATTTATCTAGCATTGTAGGCAGCTACCGGACATTCGAGAAAACAAGGCCATGTGCTCACTTTTGATGAATTTATCGTGCGCAGATCAATATATATCGCGAGAGGCGTGCCCTGGCGCTGTCCCTGAACGATACGAAAACTGCTGTGAACAAGCTGCACCGCATCGTCGACGTCATCGTGGGCTTGATTATCCTGGTCATCTGGTTGCTGGTGCTGGATATCGCCACCACGCAGCTGCTGCTCTTCACGTCGTCGCAGTTCCTCCTCGTCATTCTCGTGTGGGGCAACACTCTCAAGACCGTCCTCGAGGCAATCGTGTTCCTCTTCGTCATGCACCCGTTCGACGTCGGAGATCGGTGCGTCGTGGATGGACAGCAGGTAATCTCAAAATTCGTCGTGTCCAGCTCGATCTGGTCTTCTCAGATGAACACCACGTCTACTAAATCTGTGGCTGCTTCGACGAGACAGCCGTCGGAATAGCCTTCTCCTTTCATTATCGGCCTTCTCGTCATCTCACGCTCAATCTTCTCGTGCAGCTTGTCGTGGAGGAAATGAACATCTTAACGACGGTGTTCCTGGGAGATTACAATGTGAAGATCTGGTATCCGAATTCGGTGCTTGCGACGAAGCCTATCCAGAATTACTATCGCAGCCCAGATATGGGTGACAGTGTTGATTTCCTCACCCTGACCAGCACGCCCATGTCGAAGATCAACGAGCTGAAGGAGTCCATCAAAGAGTAAGGATTCAAAATTCGGCGAATTGGTTACATTATTATTCGATGAGGGCCTTAAGCGCTTACAGATTTAGGGGTTTAAGGGTTTAAGGGTTTAACTCGATGTCGGGCTTAAGGTTACATTCGCATCGTTGTGCCTGCATGGCAGGCAGTATTTCCACAAATGCGTGACCGACCTAATCTTCTCTATGTTGTCGTGCAGATACCTCTTGAGCAAGCCGCAATGGTGGGCTCCCGATTTCACTCTGAACGTGATGGAGATGACAGAGGGCAAGAGGATGAAGTTGACGTTGGGTCTGAAGCACACCATGAATTTCCAGGATTTGGGCGAGAGGTTCAAACGGAAAGGAGAGCTTCAGTATGAGCTGAAATCCCGTTGCACCAAGCTGGAAATTGACTTCAAGCCTCCGGCAGGTGAAGTCAACGTAAATTTCCGCCAGGAAGGTCCTCACGAGATCAGTCTCCGGAAAGTGGAGTGAGCAGGTCCTTTCCCCAGATGAGATCTGCTCGAAGCAGAGTTATCGATTGATGCTTTGGACAATCCAGAGCAAGGAAGGAAGGACGGAATCTCCTCTCCACCACAACAGAGAAGGGAAGTGTCAACTCCCACATCATCTGGCATTTCTTACTCACTCGACGTGCTGGGCTTGGGCTGTGCAATCTTCAGTATTTGACGCCTACCTACCGACCGACTGAGGAAGGTAGAGGCCATGGCCACGGATTTTGAGCATTGTCCACCTACTGTATTCGTACCAATGACCTCACCCTGTGAACGCGGTGGAAGTCTATCCGAAGGGCCTCCTTCCGCAACTAGAGAGAGTACAATAGCAGGTCCGGCAACCACTCTCCGAACGAGGAAGGGACAAGTGTTGAAATAGACTTCCCTTGCTATGTTCTCTCCAGAGTGACTGCGAAATAGATTGTTGTGATTGGTCTTTCGCAGCACACATGGATCACAGTACAGCGCAGTTTTCGGTCTTTGGCTGGCCTCTGTATACAAGAGGTCATCTCAGCTCGGCTTCTGTTCTCTCTGTTTACACCTAGTAGCTCAGCCCGCCGATTGAACGTTTGAAATGTTTACACATTCAAAAGTTCATTCACTGATGAATGCGGCCAGTTTTTTTTGGAAATACGGAGTAGATTAAGGCAATGAGACGGGAGAAATTCATTCACGGGCCTTCGCAGAGGTTCTAAGCCGGTGTGATCAATTACCCAAGCAAACATTCTTAATGTCATGTTTTCAGGAGTATCTGTAAATTTGCAGTAAAAGTGTTTGTACAGACAGACTCGATCTCGGTAGAGTTCGTCGAATGTGAGATGATTCATGCTGGCAAGAGGGAGTTTTGGTGCCATGAGTGCATTACAGTGGACACGAGTCGAAGAATTGTTGCTGTGTTAACAAGTTTCCAGCTGATTGATGTCGGTAATCTATGAGGGCCAGTTGATCTCGTATGATGACTGTTGGCTTTTAATGCCTCTTTTAGTATGAGGATTACTTGGAGTGGATCACACAATAGGCATGTCTAGGATTGATCGGAGTCCATTCGCTGTTCCACGGCCTGTCTTTTCACTGTGCATTTCCCCTGCCTGTGACTGTATTAGTCCACATCCACATGCTTCGAGTGCAGACGGTGTTTATTCCACAGACGAGCGACCCTTGTCGGTCTGCTGAACACCCAGGTATGATATGACTGGTCTTTCGAACGAAAAGATAATCAAACTGATAGTGAGACGGTTCTCTGTCGAAAGTGAAAATTAGTGAGACAAAGCCGTGTATCCAGAGTTCACGAATCCCGCCTGGATAGATGAAGTGGAAATTTGATACCTCCCTACGAGGGGAAAGTGAAGGCTCGTTTTGGGACTTTCCCCTCCCCTGGTTAAAGATCTTCACTGATGAACACTTTAAATATCGGTGCATACCCGCATACGTTGTTCTAGAAGTCTGCATTGAGTTAATTGTCAAATCTTGCCCGAGAAGCAGAATGCCGAATATGGTTATCAGCCACGATGAATGTAAAACAGAAGTGTTAAAGCTGTCAGACTGTAGGCTTGACAAAATTACGTTCTATCACAATCAGTAAAGCGAGTTTTAAGTGATAAATTGTTGATAACATAAGCCTTACGTCAAATCCTGTCAAAACTTGTAAATTTACATCTTCACATGGAGTGTACATTGGGTGACATTCCAAGCTTTGCTGGCAAGCAGAGCTTAAATCTTATTACTGCTTCAAACATGAAGAAATCATGCGTTTGTGGATAGTTACACAAATCTTTACTAAAAATCCCTCGAAAAGGCCAAACATTTAACACAAATTTTTGTACGATGAGAAGGCCGCCATATCGGATAATTCTGTACCTGCTTCTAGCTCGAAGGCCGGAGATGTAGTAAAAGATTGAGACCAAAAACCGAACACCATGCACCTTCTCTATTCTGAGTGGGTTGTAGCTCCCGAGGCCTCCATACAACGTCTAGAGAAGGCAGATTGGTTCCACAAAGAGAGAGACAATGCTACTGAAGCGCACAAGCTTTCAGCTTAAAATAGTTTCATCAGGTCAGCCATTCTGTCGATCTCTTCTCGTGGGAATGGCGCAGTTGTCTATGGAAAAGAAAAGGGCAAGTGGGTTAAGAAAACAGGATGGAAAGACTACACAAAGTCGAACTAGTAATAATGAAACGATACCTACCTATGATAAATATTGTGAGTACACCACCCAGTGTATCTGAAAAATTAATTCAAATTGTCCTTAAACAACATAGAAAATAACCTTGAATCAATTGGCGTTATTACAATTCTATTGTCTTCCATCATATAAACTGACTACTTTCCTATTTAAGTCATTAGCTAGTATTAAAATCATTGCAAAACAATGTAGTATGTTTCAGTCTAGACCTTAACTTAGTGTACACAATACGTTAAGTAAAATGATATTCAAACCTTCTGGTATCGGAGTCTCTTACCCTGTTTACTAGCAACGTGTTGAAGTCTGCAGCAATGTCAACAAAAAAGAAACAGAGAAAAAGATTCCATCAAATTGTGTGATGATGACTTTAATAGAGTTGCATGACACTAGTCTCTAATAACATCACATATATCTTCATGTGAACAATCTATATATCATCTAAATATAGCCTAACCTTCATAATGTCACCCTTGTTAATAGAACACCTTGATAATGTCATCTAAAATTTTGAAACCAATTCTCCTAGTGTAAAGTACCTCGTTATTATCAATCTCACCCTTGATACTGTCCATACTTTTTTCCAAAATCTGTAGTGTAAGTGTGATAATATCAAGTATGGATGGATTGTATGTGACAATTGCATGTACAGATTGTAGTAGCAAAAAGTTCATGAGCCGCTCCTATGATAAATGAAATGCTATTCAGAGGGTCATGAATCGCCCCCTTGCACCAACCTTGAACAATGTTGATGATTCAAAATTTCAGTTTTGTGGCCATTTGCTGGTTCAACATTGTGTCTATCCCGTTTATCTAAGGTATGAGTCCTCACACTGTATTGCACTCAAAGACAGATGTAGTGTTTCACAATCGTAGAAAGTTTTCATTGCTTATATACTTGGTTTGATATATCTTGTTGTTGCTTCGATCTTACACAAAATTAAGAGTGAGTTTTTGACTGCGCTTGCTTCGATTAGCAGTGTTCGAACTTGCTTCACTCCTGGCATTTGCAGTCGGAGCTACAAGAAGGCCAGCTTGAGCGAACATGCACCTCCAGCATCCGAAGCTCCCTCGTGAGCGGACACACTGTCGCAACTGCACCAGATGAGTGCTGAAGCCCACTCTCAACTCTAACTTATCATGTGTCCCATTTATGCGAGGAATTTTAGTTTTTTTTTGGATTATGAGCATGGTGGGAGCACATCACTAGGATGTTATCTGGATTGATGATGTTGATAGATTTGAAGTTTGATGCTTTTGATGAGCATGACCTAGTTTGAAGTTATTGGTTTCAAGCTCGCTGCTTTGATGTGGGAGCTTGGTTTCTTTTGAGAAGATGGTTGTTTGGAATATGGTTATGGGGGTGAGTGTGCTTCTTCATGAAAAGAAGTGTTGTGTGATTTTGGTTCTTGTTTATTGCTGTGCTTGGTGATTTCAATGAATTGGTGAATTCAGTTTAAAGTTCCATATTCCAGAATTTCTCAGAGGGGGTGAGTCGATGTGTTCTGTGGACATCGCTTTCCTGGTCTTTTCACCATGAGCATGCTGGTGCATTTGTAGGAGGTTGGTATCAGTTCTGAGTTCTCAATTTTGGTAGCACAATTAGCAAGGATATTAAAATCCTCGCAGTCACCCACTTGACTCTGCCTAGACAACCAGCTATCAAACCTCGGCATCTATGATGCGTTACCTCTTTTGGTTGCATTGACTGTTTTGATTGAATTTGTGATGATAGATGAATAAAGTTGTTCCTAAAACAATAGAATGCATGAATTGAGTGCATTCAAGTCTTGGTCGACATGAAATTAAGTGTTATTATTTGCATGGAGAAAGTGAAGATGCAAATGAGGTTGGAGTTGCATTGGTCATAACAAAGATCCCATTCATAGTGAAGAAATATGATCCAAAAGACATCTTCAATTTCGATGAGAAAGTTTTGTATTGCAAAGTCTCTCATAGCAAGATTTTGAATATTGGAAATGCAAAAGTAAATAAGAAGAAGAAGGACCGTATGACATTGGGGCTTTGCACTAACATGTCTGGGAATGAGCGATTGAAGCTTGTTTTCATTCACAAATCAACGCGTCTCATATGCTTTCCTCGAAAGTTTGATCCAAATCATATAATACATGATTATTCTAACAATTCAGCCTGGATGAATGATGATGTTTTTACACATTGGATGAAGAGCGAGAACCGAAGAATGACATTGCAAGATAGAAAGATTTGCATTATTATGGATAATGGAGGAAGTCATGATATAATTTTCTTGAAATCACCATGAAGTTGATGTCAAGAAAGTTAAAGATGGCTTTAATGTTTTTTTACTCTCCCATATCACTATCTTGTTCCTTCCATCAAATGTGATTTCAATTGTTCAGTCTTTGGATCAAGGAATAATTGCAGCATTCAAAATGTGCTATAAGCGCAAGCTTGTTGCATGGATTACGCAACAAATTGATAACTTAGATGAAGATTTGGAAAAATTGAATGTTGATGTATTTTAAGCAATGTTATGGTGTGTGATGGCATGACATCACTTAGATGATCAAATCATGAGAAATGTTGGAGAAAGTTTGCCATATTGCCTGCAGAGTGGAATGCAGATATCAACCATCATGATGAACTTATGAAGTCCAAAATAGAAAAAGCAGCTTTGGAATTGGGCAATCTCATGGCCGCATTAAATTTGGGTTTAGATGTTGAAAGAAAACCTATAGAAAAGCTTAGAGTACATAAACATGGAATGTGAAGATGATTTTGAGGTGGAAGATTCTACTGAAGAGCTTGTGCAAGATGGCGAAGAGGTACTTGATTCCATGGAAGAATACTCAATAGTTGTTGATAGCAATGATGATGAGTATAAAGTAGTGAAGTTAAGCGAAGCACAAAAATATACTAAGTATCTTTTGAACTTTATGACTAGCCAAGGCTTTCAGATTTTCAACACTCAAGACAAGTTAAGAATGGAAAAAATCCATGACATACTCATTAGAATTGGTGTTGGACATTTAACATCTTTAAAACAATGTGACATTAGAAACTTCTTTGTTTCTAGTGAGAGTTCTCTACCGAATTTCATTGATAGATTATGATGTGTTTTTGTTGTTATTCATAGTTTTGTATCACATTTTACATTCAAAAACTTTCAAGCTTCCATTTGTTATTTATTTTTTACATTGTAATTGTAATTCTATTTTTTACCTATTTTTCTGATAATATCACATTATGCACAAATCTTGAAAATGTGACATTATCACACCTTGTTTATATCACACTTTATAGTGAAACGAAGAGTGTGATATTATCAAGGCTAGTGTGTACTACTTGATCATCTTACATATTATCTTGAAGAACATCCCCTTTGAGAGTCTACTTTCATCACATTTTTCTTCTAGAGTACACATGCATATGTATGTATATATACAATTTCCTTTTGATAGGTTGTATGATTCTACTCTATTAAGATTAATTATATTTATATTCCTCTGTAATATTTTTGTTGTACTCACTTGTTTGTTCAATGAACTTCAAATTCTTCATGTCTTTTATAATTTTCATATCTCACACAAAGTTTTTCACAAAGCGAGTAACTATTG